GTAGCTGGATGGCTTCTGCCAGCACAAGGTTTGATGAGGCAATTTTATTTCTTGATCTTTTTGTTCCACCTCTGATTGGGTTGTCTTCCTAGCCAGATGCAATGTTAGAGAAGCGTGACTAAATCTTTTAGCTGTGTGGTGTTCATTGTGTGGATTCAGTTGGCTGAAATTGCTGGAGACAATTTAGTTCTCAGAAGCTTAAAATATTCTGTACCATAATGGAAAGATTTACTGGGCAGATTCATCCCACTGAAATGTAAATATTTCAGTATTTGATCATAGCAGTATATCCCTTCATCTGAGCACAAATCACAACAGACTGGCCTGTCCTCTTTTTCTAAAGGGATCTGGGTTCTGTAGGCATTGTTCTAAAATCACTTAAATGCTGTTTTAACTATTGCCTCCCAATCAGTGCTAAAAGAAAACAGATCTATGAAAGGTCATGTGAGAAAAAACCTTCCCTGTGCATAGAACTCTTTCCTGAAATAGCAGTGCTAATGCCTGATCTTTCCCATCACTGGATATTTGTGTCCCTTAAAGCAGTTGGGTTTTCATAGCAGCTAATGGTCAGGGAGCCATGGGAAATGTACATGCCAGATGATGAGAGCTCCTGTATGAGCTCTCTTATAAAACTCTACTTATTTTTTTGTAAAGTATTTTCTCTTTTTTACTGAAATTGGGTTATTCACCATTTCTGTTTTTCTTAAAACACAATATAAATACTTGACATAACGCTGTACATGTGTGTTAGAAAATTCTCATAGAACATCTCTGAGATTAAATCAGTTAAAATATCCCCTCAGGTTGCAGATTTTCTGTAGAGAGGGGTTTAGAGAACAGAGTTTCTTACAATGGATAATTCTAATAGGTTTCTGCTAACCAGATCAAGCTGTGTTGTGTTTTGGCAAAAAACAGACTCACTCATATGAGTGACAGGTTATTTTTCTAGAGTACAAGCAACCATTTGCTTCTGCTTTGAGAAATCCTCTCACAATAGAAAGGAACATATTTAGGACATGAACAGCATTCATATTTGCTCAGTATTGCTTCGTTTTAGTAGGTTGAGTTGAAAGAACTCCGTGGGGTACAAAAAATCATAAAATCCTCTTTAATTATTTTCGTTCTCTGGAATACATCTTCACTGAGTAACAAAGATGACTCATTTGGCTGGTCTTAGGTTTTACAGCCTACCTTGTGGATACATAAGGGTTACATGGAGCTCTGCTCAGATATGCAATTGATTTATTGATTTATGTGAGTCCTTAAACTCTCTTTGAACTGTGAGTCATTAATTCAGTAGTGAAAAATAATGATTAAGCAAGTGGTCTTTTGACATCATAGGTGGGAGGAGGTTTTGAGAGTTAAAATCAAGTTAGGTGAATGGTCTAATATGAGAAACTGAATTCTTTCAACACACTGGAGGTGTCATCTGAAAAAAAAGTTATTTCAGTTAGCTCAGATCCTTCCTGGTATTCTTTCAAAATGATTTCTTTGGTATGCTTTAGTCATGAAATGACAATGACAGAGTCAGAAGTATTTAATAGTATATTTAAAGAAGTCTTCTTTAGAAAAACAAAATATAAGTATGACACATGCAGCTTTTGTCCCCTAGTCTGTCTTAAAAGTTGCTTGTGAAGGACTCATAAGACTGACAGCTGATTTTAATAAGTCAAGATCACTTTTTTCCTGTACTTTTATTATTTTACTCAGGAAAATACCTCTGAATAATTACCAGCTTGATTGTGTAATCCATAGAGCCTCTTGACTGATGACTATCCTGCTTCAAATTAACTTGAACTGTGTCAGCGACTATGGGATTTTACTTATTTGGTTCTTCTAGGAACTATTGTTTCTTTGAGGAAGTGTTAGATGAGTCTGAGGCATATGTGATGGTCTGGATTTCTTACCATTTCAAGAATAAGAGGGAAGACAGGGCTTTAGAAAGCTCACTCTGGGTATGGGAGAGCTACACTGTGAAGTGGGCTGACCACTGTTCATAGCAAGCAATGTTACTGCTACCAGGTAGTAAGAAAGCTGTGAAAGTTTATAATCTAATTCATCTTTTTGGAAGGTTTTCTGATTATAATTTGGCAGCCACAATTGTTCTGTATCTTGTGAAAAGAGGCATTTCAAAGAAAGATAGCACAAAGACCCTGGCTTTAAATGTTCCCGTAACTTTTAAGACCTATCTCCTATCTCAATGGTGCTGACATCTGTCAGTGGTGTAGGGTCACTTACAAGCACTCATGCAGTGTTTGGGTGGCTCCAAATACATGCCCTTTGCACCAGACAGCTAAATCTGTGTGTGCTTCATACTGCCACCATATGAGATCAAATACTGCATCACCAAAGCCTTTCTGCACTTCACCAGTGTGATCCCTGCTGTGTGAGGAATGCTGTTTCCCCTTGCTTTAGAGGAAAAGAGGCCCTACCTAACTAAGTTTGTCCATCCAAGTTTCCATGGTTTCTCACATAAGAAAAAGATCGTCACTGGTGGGATGAAGTATAGCCAATCGGTAACAAATCCACTTCATAGTAGCTGAAAAACTTCCTTCTGTATTCCTACCCAGTTTTTGTCTTGAGGTTTTTGTTTGGTATTTTTTTTCACTTGAGGCTCTGTAGATTTTTAACTGTTTATGCCAGGTGCCTGCATAACTCACAGGACCACAGATGAAGTAAATATGGATGTGTAATAAATTTACCTTCTTTTTATCTACTGTGCATGGATTGATCTATGTTCTCTCTTTAGGATTGGTTTTAATGTCCTCCTGTATAAAGCATATTTTACATTTCTGTATGAAAAGATATTTGCTTCTTTGTATTGCCAAATGTAGTGCACTCATTCTGTCTTTGTTTTATTCGTGTGACCTCTTTCCACAGTCAAGGAATGTATTCCTGTTAAATAGTTTTGGTTATGCTTCTCATGGCTCACATAAGACAATTTGTCCTTCCTACCCACTCTACTTCAGCAAGTCTCTTCATTCCTGTATTTTCCATCTACAAAATAGGAATAATTATTATGCATTGCTTTTGACTGTTAAAATGCTTTAAAATTCTCAGGAAGAGTAGGGTTTAAGAATCTAAGCACTTTTTTCTTCTTCCATGAACACTAAATCAGCAACTGCCATTGAGCTGAGTTACTATATATACACTTTTCAGGAATGCTTCCAGAATCCCTCCATTTCCCCTCTACTGTGTTTCAAGAAATGTGCAACTCACCTACATTAAACCAATGAGAAGCATCACTTTCCATAGGTTGTTAACATCAATTCTGAAAAAAAAAAGTTTATGAGAATTTTTCTCTCTGTGGGAAATTACTGATATGATATTTCTACCAATGTCTTTTTCTTTCAGAGCACCAATTTGTGTACCTAGCTCTGGGTGACTATTTTTTGTTGGAATGACTAGTAGCTCCTAGTGTGCCCACAGTGTGTGGTAATTTTTAAGTCTTGTTCTTAACACGTCCTTGATTTTCTGCTGTGGCTCTGATGTCAGTGGATCTTTCCAGAAGCCTTCTATGATTGGCTTGTTGAGCTAGTGACCAGTCTTACTTTGAGTATAAAACATACAAAGCAAAACTCATCTTAATCATGATGTATCTTCCTTTTTTGTGTTTTTTGTGTGTTAAGATCATTAGATTTATTTGTCTTGCAAGAGCAGGATTGTTTTGGAAGGGTTTTGAAATGCATATGTTTTGGTTTTTCTCCTTGTTATGCAACTTGGAAAATATCTGAATTTTAAGACATTTGTTTCTCTGCTCCTTGCTTTTGTTTGCATGAAACAATGATTTGGCATATAATAGTCTGGATTCTGATTTGGCTTTGCTTTATTCAGAGAAGCATTTTAGTGGCTACATTTAGGTGAGAAATGAAAATTTCTAAACTAGGCAAGAACTATGAAAGCTCAAAGCTAATGGTGGTGCTTGCACAGACAAGACACAGTTCAGTGAGATGCAGTGTGCACCTTCATTGTCTCAGTATTAGCAAGCAAAATTGACACCATATGTGCCCAACTGTAATTGCTCCATGAGGAGAAAAGAGAAACATGTCAGAGCATTTGAGTAACACCTAATTCAGCCCATGGTTATAAATAAAGATGATGGTTGCTTAAAAACAAAAGTAAGAAAATATTATGGTTACATTATTCCTCAACAGCTCTTCCTACATAGGTGAACTTTATTACAGAGACAACACAAGTGAAAAGAAACATATAACAACTTTTTAACGGTATTTTTATGTTATTTTATTTTTTTCGCAGTAAATAAAGTGGTTATGAGGCTCCAAGGAAAACGGTCCAGATGTTAGTGAGTTGTATGAAATTTAGTGGAAACAAGCTGTAAAAAACATAGTCATAAAACAGCCTGTCAATGCCACACATCTGGACAATGCAGCTGTATGTTCCTGCTGCTGTCATCACCCTAAGAAAACTCAATAGCCTTATTTCACCCCAATTAGGCTGCATACCAACAGAATCAGAATTACACAGGGAGGGGGTGTGTTTTCACCAAGACAGACCCTCTCAAATTCCCTTCAAGAAGTTTTTATCTTTCATTTAGGGCTAGTCCCTCAGACACTGGTCACTTTGTAAGCAGTACTGCACACTATTCCCCTTGATTTGCTATCTGTTAGGTGCTTTTTGATTTATTGCTTTATAATATGTAGTTGCTTAATGTTATTTCTTTGTTTAAAACCTAAAGAGAATTACATTTTCCTGTGAGAACTCTGTGTATGTTGATTTTCTCATAAATCATAGGTTTTTTCCATTCTAGTTTTATTGCATACTATAGCTGAAATAACTTTATTTGAGGTCTTTGGAACCAAAGAATAGTGGTGTATCTTACTGATACATTGTTTTGTCTGTAAATGTGGCCATTTCAACCCACACATGGTACAGTGTGAGATAGCACTTGCTCATTTCAGCATGCAAATAAACATGAGTCAAGTGCAGTATTAAAGCTATGCAAGTAGTAGTTTTGTTGTGATTTTTTTTTTCCTTTCCAGGTGATGGAATTAGCCAAAGCCTTTCTGGACCAGGGTGAAAAATTTCCTGCAACACTAACTGGAAAGCTGTTGAAATTTCAATTGCTTTGTCTCAAACAGAAGGCTCTTCAGAGAAGAGAAGAGGAAAAGAAGGTACTATAGTATGCCCTAGGAACATTACATTTTTGAAGACACTTCTTTGGTGTTGCTTCCATAAATCCAGCTTTCTTCTCATCTTTGTCTTACTAAAACAGTAATTAAAGAGAAATGTGATTAGAAATATTTTTTAAAGTTGATTAGATTTTGTGCATGAAGTTCTCAATTACTCAAATGCCAATGAGAACACGGGGGAAAAAAGAAAATAAAAACACTATGGAAGAAGTCTTTGCTAGAGTGACAGCTAGTAATGGCTTAGCTGAGTGTTAGGACCAGTAGAAAATAGAGCTCAGAACAGGCTTCTGCTGAATGTATCCCTGCTGAAGTAAAGGCCGGAGAGATTGTTACGTGGAAGGTATCAAGGACAGACACAGAGCAGACTATGACAGAGTTCTTGTTATGAATCTCCTCTCTGGAGGGAATTTGGAGAACTTATCTTTCCATCCTCCAGCGCTAAGGCAGGATAATATTTACATAAACTATTCCTGGCGGATGTTTGTTGAACCTTTTCTGAAAACTTCCCTGTGCTGTGTCTTTGCTTTTCCATGGCAACCAGTATTATTTCTGAACCATCTCTGCAACGTGAGCATTTGAAAAAGGTTTCTGATCCTACCAACGCTACTCTCATTTAAATCTGTTTGAGTTCTCCCTGTACAGAAATCTATTACATATTTAACTAACAAACCCAAATATGTACCATGGTTGTTCGTTTTTGATTATGCATGTTCCTCTCCTCTGAACTCTCTCAAAAAGGTACATATTTTGAAGTCGACTTCTCAGAACCAGGTACCACATTTTCCAGTGTTCCCAAAGCTTCCTTCCATTTGTCTCCGAGGTCGTCACTACTAGCTCCAAGATTGTCTGGGACAGATTGCTTATTTGTTCTAGGAGGAATTTCACCAAGCTTGCACTGAATCACAGATCAGACCTCTAATTTATTTCTAACATCTTTTGGAGTCGTCAGTGTTACATTTCAACAACTTACTGAACAGTTGGTTTTGCTATAGTCCTTTTCCAACAAACATTCATGAAACTGAAGAAAGTCAGTTAATTATCAGAAAGTCATACAATTACTGCAGTAAGTTTACCCTGTTAATTGGTCAAAACCTATCGTGTGGAGTGTGATGATATGGAGACCTAAGGAGTCTGTGCATGTAAAAGATGCAAGCAGAAAATAGTTTAATGGATTTTGTGTAGCTGAAAAATCTGTAAATTTCTTTATCAATAGTTTTACTTGTGGGAGAAGTTGGTGGATGAAGTGTAGCACATAATCACAAGAACATTGAATGCTGGGTGATTCCATTAAAATTGTGTCTTGTTCCCACAGAATTCAATTATTAGGAAACGATAATTTAAACCATAGAAATATATGAAGAATATGAGAAAAATAATGTGTTTTCAATCTGAAAAGAAACTGAAAAGCTGAAGCTGTAGAATAGATTGTTAATAGTGAATTGGAAAAAAAATTGCTTTTTTCTTAGATAGCAGTCAGTTCTTGTAAGTAAACTGTCAAACAAAACTTTGAAGTTTAATGGCAATTCAATATTAAAATGGAGTCTTTGGAGCTTTCATTTAGCAAAATTAGTCTTGTAACTGTAATTTTATTTCCCTGGTTAATTGGTGGATAGTCAATGTTGAGGGTTGAAGAGTCTCTGGCACTTACAGTTACTTCTCTGTTTTAGTCAAACTGTCTGCAAAAGTTGTCACCTCCTTTGAATTGTATCTATATCAATGTGTGACAGGCAAACACAAGTGGAGCCATTGAAGGAGAGTCAAGAATTGGAAGGCTCTTGGATATGAGGATGCTCTGCAGTACAGAGTGGGCAGAAACTGACTTCTAATTTAGAGTTCCATCTCTAAATTGGCTGCCATAGAATTTTTAATCCTTTCCAACTAGCTTGTACAATACAAGTTCTGTTGCCAGCAATCTGGGTGTTGAAAACAGGATTTTACTCGCAAATCAGTTCTCAGAAAGCAAACATATCTGTCCATGGGCCTTTTTCTTAAATAGATATCTAGAATGGATCAGCAGAACTAATACAATATGTAAATAACCAAAAATAAGGCATCCTGTATTTCATTAGGAGCAGGAGCTTGTCATAAATTGACAGGCATAAATATTATGCAGAAGAGAAGTGTCTCTGAACTAGAAAACTGTTTGAGGTAGTAAAATTTTGAAATGTGAAGCTTAAAATAACAAAATTGCAGAAGTTAATGGATTGTTAGAAACTCCACCAAAAGCTGCACCTTGTAGGGAAGGAGTAATATGACATTAAAAGGAAAAGGAAAGAGTCCAAGAAAGGAGAGGTTCTTACTTTCTAAAGTATTTAGGTCAAGTAATGTTCTTTGTTAGAATCTTGGCAAGTCCATAAATGTCTCTGTTTATTTAAGAATTACTTTAAATTATGCAGATGCAATAGATCAAGTTGATTGTGATCTTTCTGGCATGATGATTTTATCATCTGTTTGATGTGTTCATCAGCTTAGAATTCAAAGAAGTACTATCAAAATTTCTAATTTGAAATGTCAAAGGTGGAACAAATTTGAAAGAAAGTAATGAAAGTCTCCAAATCCTTCATTACACAGTGGAAATAGTTTCAAGATTCTGTCAAAGACATTTCTAAATTTTACAGAAAGGAAATTCAAGAAGGAAGGGAAAAGCAGGAAAATATTTTCTGTTTTGATTTTAAATTTGAACCAAATACAACTTCCACAGCTGGAAAGTCTGCTTTTCAGCTGGATCTAGGGAAAGCAACTATATACAGTTAGCTGACCTCTCTCATTTGCATGAAGGGCTTTCCTAATTGCTTTAATAGCCTTTAAAGTGGCATCAGGAGGATTGTAACTATAAGTTAAGTTAATATTTTTTAAAATTTAATTTAGCTTTATAATCCTGAAATGTAATTTTTGCATAGTTTGAATATAGTAATTTTGCTGGGCAAAAATAGGGTGGACACTTTCTTGCTTTACAGAACCTACGTTACCTTAATATATTTTTTATCATTTTCATTTCAGACCGACTCAATTTTTTTTGGATTTATAGAGTGAGGCTTTGGGACACTTAAAATATCTTTTTTTGTCCTGTACTCTTAAATTACTAGGAAGAGCTTTATGTAGGTGTTTTTATTTGAAGATAATGAGAATAGCTGAGTAATATCCTGTGTGAAATGAACGCACAACTCTTGATTATAGTTTACATTAGACAAATATTTACATCAAAGGAAAATAGTGCTGGTACCATTTTACACCATAGTCGAGAGTGTTAACAGAGATGTTAAAGATATTAACAGATACTGAATTTTTGCCATATTTCCCTTCAGTCCAAGGAAGGTTTCTGGCTGCTGCAAGTGCTGTAGTGGAAGTAACTAAAGCACAGGGGTTTTTCACTCATCTTTCTATCCATATGCATTTTGTTATTTTGGTAGATATGTCTACCTACCTCTTGCAGTTCCTTTTTTATGTGAAGTCTTAGCATTATGACTGAGTAAGAGCATCTAAATAATTGAATGTGTGTTTGAGTAGGAAAAAGCAGGGTGTTCAAGACAGCTCCACCACATGAATATTATAGCAGCTGAGAGGGAAAAGTGTGAAAATAAAAAAAATTGAACGCCTAAAGTTTTTCAACAGTCTGACCTTTGTTCTTCACAAAGGCTTTAATAAGACTTCATTTATTCATCTTGTCAGGCAGAACAGCTGAAAAAAGAAAAGGAGAAAGCGAGAGAAAAAGAGAAAGAAAAAGAAAAAGAAAAAGATAAGAAATCTCCTGATAAGACAGGTGGAAAAGATAGTAAAGGAAAAAAGTCAGAGTCATCATCCCCTGTTAAAAAGGACACCAAATTCAAACAACGGGGAGAAGTGGAAGTGAAAGACAAATACATTGGTATGTAAAATATGATTATTTACTCCTGGGAAACCTTTGGAATACTTAGTTTTGTTCCATGTTGAAAAGTCAAGATCTATTTGGCAATATCAAAATTTTGCCACTTTGCATTTGAAGAGGGCACTGTGTTCTGCTCACTGTTAGGATGGATTGTGCAGTCCAAGAAGTAAGATACAGATAAGTTACATGTGGCATGTCAACATCAAAATGTTTGGGCATATGTAAGACTACAATAAACTAGCCAAAGAAATCCCACAGAAAGCCTATCCTAGATAAAGATTTCAGAATAATTAAATATCAGTATCCAAAGGTGGCTTTCTCCTTGTACTATAGTTTAAAACACAGCTGACAGAGTTGTCAACCCCGTCAGTGAAAAATTTTTCACTACTTCCAATCTAGTCTTACCCTCTTTATATTTGTTCTAATATAGCTGTATAAAGAAAGGGGGAAAAAAATATGCCTTAAATTCAAAGACAGTCTATATCTGTTTCTGGTAGCTAGCAGTCATTTTATAATTCATACCTAATACATTGTCATCTTTCTGAAATTAAATATTTCTGCTTTTGAGTAATATTGAGATTACTTGCATTAATGTCTTTCCTCTTTTGCATACGGACTAGTCACTGATAATTAGAACTGACTGACTGTTATTCACTTGTCATGATTATTAGCATAATCATAATTATTATTTTAAAATGGCAGGCAGTCTTCAGCCTGTACACATTGGAATTTTTGGATCTCTGTAGGTGACTGTGCAGACACCTGTCTTTTTTGTTAAAAGTAATTAATGTTCAGTAATTGTATGTGCTCATATTTTTTCTTCCTGCAGTAACTGAGACAAATTTATGTATTTCATTTTCAGTACTAGAAGTGAAATAATAAGCTAGTTTTCTTCTGGTTTTGATTTTTACCTTATGCAATATATTTGTTGGACTGTGGTGGCTGCTTCCTCAGTCAGTCTCTCTCTAAATTTCTGTGTTATTTTATGTTTAGCTAATATTACAGGCAACAGAGAGCCTGCTACTCCAGGTTGTAGCAGCATTTGCATAGCCCTGGGCATCTGGCCGAGCACAGGCAGATGTCAGTGCCAGGCTACTTTTTTTCCTTCCTTGGATAAATTAGTCCCACAAGTAGAGGAGTCAGTAAAGCACTTTTACATCTGATGTGTTAGTAAGCATAAGAAAGGATCTTAATGCTAAATAGAGTATAAAGCTGTGATTTGCTTTTAGTGTAGGTTTGTCTGCACTAACTCTATGTGTTTCAGCATTGATGGAGAGATACAGGACCTCCAGCAGACAGTTTTTGTTAACTTAAGATAAATAACTGTACTGGATGAATTAAGTCACTTGATACCGGTCTTACTACCTGGATTTCTCCATAAGGCATAAAAGGAAACTACACAACTCTAGAGCTTCTAGAGAGTTCATGTCTACTTATATCATGCTTAACCTTTTGCTTTGATACTGAAATGCTGCTATGCATATTTCTGCATAACTGATAAGCCCAAATAGAACAGGCACTCAATGAAACTCCTCATCTACGTTTTAATATGAATTTGGATATGCCCCTGCCACCTAAAAGGACTAGTGTGAATTGGTATTACCAGCTGATGAGGATTTTGCCAAGAATTACATCTAGTGAACATGAACCTGCTGGGTAGGGAGGAGTCAGCAGTGAGTCAGCTGATACCTGCAGCTAATCCTTTGAAATTATTATGACTTGGGTAATCTTTCATGTAAGATACAGTAACTTACTTTTTGTCCAGCTCTATGTCCAGCTTTATGCAGGATGAAATAGGATAGTTTAAACTACCATTAAGACATGTGCATATGTCCTGACACTAAACTCCTTTGAGAGGAGCAATTACAGAAATGCTGCTACAACATTCTGATTATAATCAGCTTTTGCAGATTTTCTCCTGGTCTTTCTCCAAACAATTGTTACTTCTGACTTGTATTCTTCCTGCTGTGTTCTAGGTGGTTTGGTGCATAAGAACTGAGTCTTATGCTCATATTTTTTGAATTTATATGTAATTTTCCCAATAAGAGTATAAAAGAACTATTTCTGTAACCTTCATTTGCATAACCCCATATAGTCAAGTAAAAAATCTACTTTGTTTAGATGATGAATGTTCTTATTCCAATTTGTTTTTGTTGTGTTTTGAACAGATGATGAACCAGATGATGGTGCTCATTATTACGTTATCATTCTGGGTTTCCCCAGTCTTCAGTTGTTACCTGTCTTGATTGAGCTTGGGATTAACATTTCAAGTGTAATTCAAATTTCTTCTGAAAATTACAAGCCATTGCAGATATACTTAGAAGCAACTAAACTTCAAAAACAATCTTCACTTTCACTTGAAGGTAATCTGGTCATTAAAAAAATTATGTTAAAAGGAGATAATTTGATATACAGGAAATTACTGTTCTGGCTGTGTTTTTCTCCCTCTCTATGCCTTGTGTTTGTGTGAGCAGCTGTGTTTCCCAGTGCAAAAGTAGTATTGCCATTGGTTGGCCACCAAACCAAATGGTTTGCCAGTGCAAAAACTGGACAGTAGAAAGAGGGACTGACTAAGCAGGCAGAGTTTGCCGCCACAGTAGCCACCAAAGAATGTTTTATCAAATGCATACTTCTGTGAATTGTTAGGAAGTGTACTGGTAAGAAAACTTGGCTCATTTGGTAATTTCAATGAAAGTGAACAGTTGGCTGCTTTGGGACTGTGGCCCCAGCCACAGGAGAATATGCCTCAGAATAATGTTCTGTAATTATACTCAGCTGTCCCAAGGCTGTTAACACCTTTCTTGAACTGGGATGCTGGTAAGCAGTGAGCTAAATATGTGTCATCAGTGATGGCTGGCTATCCTGAGCTGCAGTGACATAGCCAGCAGATCAAGGGAGACAGTTATTCCCTGCTACTTGACTGTCATGAGAATAGAATTATGGACTCTACACTACAAAAAAAATACCAATAAACTCTATTCAATCCAGAAAGCAGTCTCCCTATAAGGACTGGCTAAAGGACCTTGAAAGAAGAAAAAGTGGTTGTGATCATGAATGGCCATTGGAATTTTCAGGCCCCAGAGACAGGGTGAAAGTCTGGAGAAAGTCTCTTGGTGGAAAAGGATTGAGTTAGGGATTAAACAAACTGGACACACATAAGTCCATGGGACCTGATGGGATTCACTCAGGCATACTGAGGGGCTGGCTGTCATGTCACTGCAAGGCCACTGTTAATTACTTTTGAAAAAACATGGCAATTAGAAAACTGGAGGAAAGCATCACTCCTATCTTCAGAAATGGCAGGAATAACTCAGGAATGTAAAGGCCACTCAGACTCTTCTGTGTCTCTGGGAAGATGATAGAACACCTAGTCCTGGAAACATTTCCAGGCACATGAAGGACAAGGAGTTGGTCATTTAGCATGGATTTGCCAATGGAAGTCATTCTTAACCAACCTGATAACCTATGACAAAATGACTGTCTTGGTAGAGGAGGAGGAAGCAGTGAATATTGTCTGCCCTGACTCAGTAAGACCTTTGGCACTGTCTTCTCATAAAGAAGCTGGGTAAGCAAACACTGAGTTAGATTGAAAACTGGCCGAATATCCTGGCCTAGAGGGTATCTGAGGGGATTTGTGGTGTGAGTCCAGCTGAACATCTTTGTTACTGATCAGGAGAGTTCCCTCAGTGAGTACTCTTATGATACAAAACAGGGTGGAATGGCTGAAACACCACAGAATTGTGTTGGTCTGCAGAGGGACCTCAACAGGATGGAGAAATGGTCTGGCAGGACCCCATAGAATTTGGCAAGGGCTAAATCCTGCACCAGTTAATGGTGGGGGCTGACTGGCTGGAAAGTTGCTCTGCACAGAAGGACTCGGGGAGGGTGGCAATGAGCTAGCTGAACATGAGCCAGCCCTGTGCCTTTGTAGCAAACAAGGCTAGTGGTATCCAAGGCTGCATCAGGTCAAGAGATTTGAACTTTCTTTTGTGTTCAGCACTGGTGAGGCCATACTGAGAGTTCTGTGTCCAGTTCTGGACTCCTTAGTAAAGGAGAGATAAGGAGCTATTGGAGAGAGGCCATCAAACGACCACAAGTATGTTCAAAGGGCTGGAGCATCTCTCATGTGAGGAGAGGCTGAGAGAGCTGGGAATGTTAACCCTGGAGAAGAAAGAGCCTGGAGCGAACTCATCAATGTTTATAAATGCCTGAAAGGAATGTGGAAAGAAAAGGAAGCCAGGCTCTTTTTCAGTGGTGTTCAGTGACAGGGCAAGAGGCAATGGCAAAACTGAACAGAGGGTGTTGGCTGAAGACAAAGAAACGCTTGTTTGCTGTGAGGGTGACTGAGCACTGTCACAGACTGCCCAGAGAGGTCATGGAGTCTTCATTCTTGAAGGTACTCAGAAACCATCATGGTCCTGGGCAGTCTGCTCTTGGCGACCCTGCTTGAGCAGAGGAGTTTTACCAGATGAGCCCCTCAGGTTCCTTTCAGGATCAAGCATTGTACTTGGAATAAAAGATGATGGCAAGATATTTGGGGGGTTTTTTTAATCCCCAAGTTAGGTGTCAGATATTTGCTGAGACTCTAAGGATGGAAATACGTTAACAATACTTAGAGTAGACTGATACATGATTTGTGCTTTATGTTAAAGGGAGACACTGTACCATGATTTGTCAAATACTCATATATTTTAGATATAGAAGCAGAGAAAAGAAAGGAAGATGAAGCTAAGAAAGACCTGGAAACATTTTGGAAATTCCTGGAGCCCGTTCTGAGCAGTGGAAAGCATGGATCAAGTCTCTTTGATGTTGCCAGGCTTCATTACCTAGTTAAGGAAAGTGACTTTCCCCCTGATTGGACAGACAGAGAAATGCTGGTCAGTACATTCTGTTTTTTACAGTGCACGCCATGCTTTAGGGTTTGTAATTTTTAAGAACACTTTAGGAATTTAATCTCAAGTCTTCTCTGAAACACAACCACCGTAGTTACTATATTTGTAATCGTAAACAAAAATTATTTCCTGTGTATCCAACAACTTCATTCAGCATCTGTTTACAAGGAGTCCTTCAAATAAAAATGACTGATTTGAATTTTCTTTATATTGTAGGCCACAGCAGAAGGGTTGTAAAATAGTTCGAGGTTTTAAAGTTATTGAACATGTTTGCATCTCGTTCGAGAGTCATATGTGTGTATGAAATAACACAGAAGTTATATTTTTGTCCTCATAACATCAGGCCTACTTGCATGCACCTCAGAATAGTCACATGAGAAAAAATTTGCTGAATGCAAGAATACCTTTTGATATACAATGTTGCTTTATCATACTCAGTACTGCTCATTTTTGTCCAAAACATGGCTCTAGTTTATTATAGTCTGCTGAGTCAGGACTATTACCAGGCACTGAAGGAGAAAGTGAATAATTAGAAATGTTTTCCGTCCTAGATTCTCACATATAGTGAAGAAAAAGAGTCCAGTATTTCTCAATCTGCAGTGTCAGCAGTAAAAATACAAACTGCTAAAACAAAATAAGGCAACATGCTATAATTTAACCTACTGTATTTGTAGTCTGTATTATTAGGATTAAGGGACATTCTAGGGTTAAACTACATTCTTCTAACCCTTACTTGTAGTACGGTAGATCCTGTATACAAACAACTCACAGTGATTTCCAAAGCATTCATTGAAAATGCCTTAATTGTGGAATGTAGGCCTGCTACTTATAATATTACTTATCATTATACTCTTTATGTAATCTTACCATGCCAAGCCCCTTTTGGGAAAGCAGTTTCTATCATCCCTATAATCACATCTTACAGGGTTTCTACTTTTGAATATCTTGCAAGCTCCTAGATTATAGTTGAAATAAAGGAAAAACCATGTGTCACTGAAAAAGATTTAAACAAATTGGAGTTACAATTTCATGAGCCCTACAGGAGTTATGATTTCATGAGCCCTACAGAAGTAAGAAAGTTTGTAAGTTTTTTAAGAAACAGGTGAAGATCATATAAGTTCTGAAATCATAGGTTGGTAAAGTAAGTCCATTCTTGTGGACTTCCTGGAGAATCTCTGAGTCCAAGCTTGCTGCATCTCTGAAGTGCAAGACACACAAGAGGAAAATTCTTGGGGCAAATGTTAGCCATTAATATGAAAATGACAGAATGTTGCATACTGCCGGTAGTCTCTGCTCTCAGATTTGAGATCTTTAAAATAGAAAATACCTTCAAAAGTATTTACTTTGTTGAAGAGTCACTAATAGTTAGACTTAAAAACTTAGGATAAAAATCTATGTCCTGAGGAGACAGCAGGCAAATTGAATTACAAAATTGTAATTATGCTAAACTTTGCTTGGATCCCATTGAGTAGCAGGGTTTTGTTACTTATGACTTTGTAAAAAATCTTGTTTTGTTTAAAAGACTGCATTGAAAACTCTCCAACATTTTATATAAAACTTTTACATGCTCTAGTGATACCTTACATATACAAATGTATGGATGAAAAGGTGTTATACTAACCCATTCTTCAGAAGAATATTGAACTGGGAAAACAAAAGTGCAAGAATATTAATGAACATTCTGTTTTCGCAAATAGAATTTCTTTCCCAAGTGTCTCTTCTAGTCTTTAAATGTTATGGAAATGGAGTCAAGTATTCCATAACTTAGTGATTTGGAATTGCCAGTTTCCCAGTGTCGTGAAGAGCCACTGAGTTGAGGAAAGCAGATGTTTTTGTTTGTTATTTTGGGTTTGTTATTTTTCTTAGTGCCTAATGTCAGTTGTTCTTCTTCACTGTATTCTATTTTAGGAAATTTAAAATTGAGACATTCAGTGTTGGTACAAGAGACTGTTGTAGGTACAGAGTTGTAGGTACAAGAGACTTGCCCTAAATTCACAAAGGTGAAAAAATCACTCAGAAAAGGGCTTTTTACAGAAATCATCTAAAAGTGATAATAATTCCATCCTTTCCACAAAGTTCAGGTTGTACAGGAGAGGAATACATCCATTAAAGCTGCTGAAACTTGAGTGTTTCATGTGGTCTCCTACAGAGTATTGGTATTTGTACAAGAACCTTTAATATTTAAAATAGCTGTTGCTATTATTCTTTTTATTCCTCCCAAACTTTGGTGAAAACCACAGTATTTGACCTCAAGGACCATGACTCTTACCTTGTCAGATTTTTGCAAATACAGTGCCCTCCTTCTGGACGTTTGGGCACTATGCTGACATTCCTTCACTCACAACTGTGGATTTCAGAATGGCATTCTTGAGGCTTTCTTTGTTTTCAAAGAGCAACAGAAAGAAAGAAAATAATGTGAGATTATATTAATTACCTGGTTAAGGTTTTATTCTTTATCCCTTTAGGGCAGGGAAATTATTGAACTTGCAAATATGCTGCAGGTTGATCGCTAGTGAAAATGTACATACATTACAAAATACTTTAATTTTTCTCTTCCATTCCTTCCCATCCAAAAAAACCCCTTAAGTTCCATCTGCAAGGTAGCAGACCTTGAACAGTTACTGTTAAGACAAGTAAGACTTTATAACATCTAAAGCACTTTGGCAATATACAGTCCATGCTCTGCTGTGGCAGTGTGAAGGCAAATAAAATGAAGGTTTTAGAATAACTCTGTAAAACATACTGAATTGGTGGAGGAAAAAGTCTTTTGGAAAATTTATAAACAGATGTAGATCTGCTGGTTAAAGAGCTAATAACTGCTGTCACCAAGTTACATGACATTTTATACACACTCTTCATCCTTTCTCTCACAGCTTGAATTGGGTACTGTGGTGTTTGAACATGTTGCTTGTTTGATGTATGACTGCCTGGACTGGAGAAGACAGCATTGCAACTACTTGGAAAACACCAAGTTTATTAACGTGACTGTGTTACCAGAGAGCAAATCAACACAACCATCTTCACTTGAGGCAAGGACCCTTCTCTTCTTGTTGAGAATAACTAATTATAGGGTAGAATTGCCTGTCTTTAAATTTGACTCAAAAATTCACCTTGGACCATCACTCTGTGAATAATTTTCAGTGAACGAAAGTTGTATTTTTTGTTTTAGCATTTAAACCCCAAAAAATGGGGAAAAAAATAGCTGAGCATTGAGGAAACAGAAAAGGGAAATTGGAAGGATCCTAGAGGCATAATGTATCATAGGTGTAGAAATTTCTTAAATAGTGTCTGATGATACATTCTTGTGTCTGAAAAATCAATATACCTGCACAGAGCTACTATGCAATGTTGCAGATCTATGAACTGTCAAAAAAAAAAAAAGATTATTAGTTCTATGCAAGATCGATTTCCTTATTTTACTTATAGTAGGAAAAATGTTAAATAGGCAGAAGAAAGTAGTTTATTAGACCATGTGCTACATTCTTACTATCTTGTTCCAACTAAAAGTTTAGCATGTAGTCTAGAGTGAGTAACCAAAGCTAAATGAAACTAAGTTCTCCCACCTATTTGTGCAATACCCGTTTGTTTTATGGTTTCTGATTTTTTTATTTTACCTTTCATTCACTTAGGAGCAACCAGCACCACAGATGTCACCTACAAGGAAAAGAGGGAAACAAGAAGAAATTCTGCCAACAATAGTTCTGTCAGAGAGTATGTTTAAAGGGTTAAAGTACCCATCTGTAGTTGATCCCTCTGTCAAACCATTCATTCATCTGACAGCACAAATCCTCAAAATTATTTGTGCAGTTAGCTGAAGATGTTGTGTATCCTGGTGATTGCATTGTGGAAGTGTCTGAGTGGTGATAACCAAGTTCTTTAGAAAATCTTATTTTCTAATTGTTCCTAGTCAAATTCAGATTTCAAACATTTTAGTAATTTTGTCTGATCTCTAACTTTGTTGGACTCTTCAATAAATATTGTCTGAAAGTTCACAGAATCACAGAATATTCTGAGTTGGAAGGGACCTACAAGGATCACAGAGTCCAACTTAGCCCCACATAAGACATCACAGCATGTACCTGAAACCATTTTCCAAATGCTTCTTGAACTGTCAGGCTTGGTGCTTTCACCACTTTCCTGTGGAGTCTGTTACCCGGCCCACCCACCTTCTGGGTGAAAATTTCTCTAATACCCAACCTAAAGCTCCCCTGACTCAAGGTGAGGCTGCCCCAGTGCAGAGCAGAGCGGGACAATTCCCTCCCTTGCCTGGCTGGCGATGCTGTGCCTGATGCACCCCAGGACAGGGCTGGCCCTCCTGGGGCAGGCTGGCTGCCTGGGCATGGCTGGCTCACACTAGGTTTTCCATCAAACAGGACCCCTGGGTTGCTTTCTGTAGTGCTGCTCTCCAGCATCTTATTCCCCAGTCTGTCTGTACAACCAGGGTTGCCTCATTCCAGGCACAGAACCCAACACTTCTGTTTTTTAAGCTTCAGAAGGTTGATAATTGCCCAGCCCTCTAATTGCCCCTAAGGTCTCTCTTCAGGGCCTCCCTGCCTCTGGGAGAGTCAAACAGCTCCTCCCAGTTTTGCATTATCTGCAAACTTGCAGAACTCACTTGGATTATAAATTGGCATTTCAAAACTAACATATCTTAATGTTTTATCTCTTAATATAGCAGAAGAAACTTCTGTTCTGTTTCCTTCTGTGGACATGAGATATTACAATGACTTGCTGTATCAAATTCCTGAGGAGTACTTTTCTGTACCCTTAATGCTGAGCTGCATGTTGGAACAGGTGGGAATGTTCTCTTTTTAGTTTCTGTGGCTGTTTTGGCCTAGACCTAACCTAATATAATGAATTGTCAAAGATCAATTAATCCATCTGTTTAAACCTAAAATATGAGACAGTGCATTAAGGAACTGAGCAAGGACGTTCAATACAAAGGAGTCAAAACTCCAAACTTTTATTTTCTTTCATGTTGTCCACTTACCCTGTATATATATATATATAGTATTACTCCATAATTAATTTTTGAAGACTACAAATATAATCAAATTAGGAGAAAGGTGCAATTTCTTATCCAAGTCAATAACAAGTTTTTGTGCCCTTCAGCAGTGTTATTGATACTCAACTTTTGTTGGCTTACTCAGTTCAAAGGTCTTAGGTCAAGCCTAACATAAGAGCATCAATGCTAGTGCTAGAGAGATCTGACTTCTGTTGAATTCAGGCACAATCTGATTTAGAAGAGACACACAATATGATTTGGAAATCCTTCTTTTAGGAGTAACATTTCAGCATAATTTTGGGGTTTTTTCTTTTCATAACTTAGCCTGAAAATAGACTGGGTAAGAATAAAGTCCAGCACCTAATAGACAAACAGTTTTAAATTACCTGTATTCCTTCACAATCCTTAACATTTCAAATTGGAAATATTTTTCTTCTTATCCTTTCAAAAGCATCTAATAGAGATAACATTTAATTCTGTTTTCCACAGTCCTTGCTTTGTGCAGCAACTAACTTGGAAAATTGTATTTTTGCTACTTGTAGAAAAAAATTAGACTTTTCTTCCCTCACAGAATTTCTGGTTGTGTGCTTAGCTTATAGCAGGATTTGCTTGGTATTTCTGGTAAAGTTAAGCAGCAGTCATACTGTGATGAAAGCTAACATATACTGTATTTGCCAGGTTATTGCAAGTGAGGAAGACCTTCCACCACCAAGTCTTGTGTCACTAGAGCCTCAGGAAGATGAGCTGCATCGTGCCATCGCAGATCATATAATCTCTGTCCTTCCTTCTCTTTACCTTCCTATGAGTGAAAAAAAGGTTTGTGTTGTCTTTCATTCATTTACTAAAATGACAGATCTCATTATTGAGACTTAATATCTCTTCCTTTTCTTTTTAAACAGAATCTGTATGACTACTTTTCTCCTAAACCAAATGTACAAGAGAGGGTCACCCCCGAGTACCCTCTCTTATTTAACTACCACGATGCCCTGGCTCAGCGGTTGCACCTCCTGAAGGTACAGTACAACAGCTAAGGTGTGTCTACCTGGCTTCCTGGATTAGAAATTATCTGGGGAGTACTTTGACAACCATTGATTAAAACTATTCAGAAACTACTCAAGTTTGACACATTGGATGTATTCAAGCAGAAGGAAGGGCTGTGTAATCAACATAAGAGACGCTCTTAGGAGACATTTGCCTGATGTATTTTATATACTTGCTGAAGAGGAAATTCAGGATATAGCACAATGTTTGAGGAAAGAGTAGAGGACAAACATTTGGAATATGCAGTTGAAGAAAAAGGTACCATAAGTGTGTAATACTAAAAAGAGTAAAACTGAAATATACCACTACATCTGAAAAAAAAATCCTTGGATATAGAGGGATGCCTCTCATCACAGACTGATCAATAAGTTTATTGATTTCATTACTCTAAGAAGTGGCACAGACCAGCTGAAAGATACATGGAAGGTACCTGCTGCCTGTCTGAACAAATCAGTATATATTTCTGTATTTTTAAGTCTAGCTAGCACAGACAAATAACTTCTAACAAATGTCTGTTATTATGCTGTCAGTCATTCTGTTATGTGTCTAATATTTTTCTGCCTACAGTATCTGACACCATGATTCAAAACCACACTATGGGCACATGTTCAAATATAAATTTATGTCCAACGGGCTTAAGCATATGCTAATGTCTTCTGCTGAAAAAGACTTCTTTATTCAAACATAAGTTTTGGAAAGTCAATGTGTGAAAGTTTACTTCAACTCTGGTACTTTGATTTTTATTCCAGGTCCAAGAGAATGTCGATCCAGAAAAGATTGAGCATGAAATGATGGATAAACTGCCTCTTACAGAACTTATCCATTTCACCCCTCCTTCAACTGAAAACAACACTAAACGCTTGGCCAGAATTCATGAGCTCATGTATTATTTTACTACTGGTAAAATTATTTTCACTGATATAATTTCCATTCTTTTCATTTCTGGTTGATGATTTTCTCAAATAGCAGGAATTCTGGGGCAAGAATTTAAAGCTGCCAAATACACCTTTGCAGAATTTCCCATTTTCACATTCTTGCTTATATATAATTATAGCCTACTCTAAAAGTTAACCCTAACTTCAGACCTCAGTTTTATGGTTAATGGGAACAACTCTATGAGTGTTAAATATTGCATAACTAAGAGCTGGAACTTACCTTGGAAGTACTTTATTTATTTATATTTGCAAACATGCAAACGCTTACTAATTCTGAGGGAAAAAAACAGCTGTAAAAATTGCAATTTTGGTCCTAGAATGTAGAATGCATTTTGAGAGACACTGGTGTAAACTGTGTTGATTTATCAACTCAATTTTGGAGGTAAAGCACATGTGTCTTAGGTAGACAGTTTTTTATGGAACAATACACAGCTTTCAGAATGTATTCTGAAATATATTGTGTATTGTGTTATTCATGCATAAGCTGTTGGTATTAATAATGAAGCTACTTTATAACAGTCCCTCTATCAAACCAAAAATACATTCACTTCCCCAACCATAATCACTTCTGCAGTTACCTTTTCTTGGAGTGTGCTTGCAACCATGACATATGCTGGGAAACAATCCCAAAGACTACATAAATACCCTTAGGTAGTATCAAAAGTCTGCTCTAGGTTATTAAGAAATATAAACATCCAAATCCCTTTGGTTGCATTCATGTCATCATATAAGGCACAGGATTTGAAGGTACTTTCCCAAATCTTTCATCCTGAATTCCCTGTGTTGGATTAATTTACACTTTGCTGTACTGTTTCTAGTTGCTGGTATGTACATTTTGGACAGTAAGCTATTAAAGTATTCACTATTGCTACAGTCTTCCAGCTGATGGGTAGCTGAATTTGATAATCCTCACTGAGACATACTGTACTGCCAGACTCTCCTAACTAGCAAAGCCTTTGCTTTTATCAAAGGAGATAATTAATTTGAACAGAAGATGAGAGATCCAACGTTCTCAAGATATATGATGTGCTTAGGTGCTTAGCCACCCTAAAAAGAAAACATTTCAAACTGAAGATATTCTTTGTGTGATTTGGGCATTGTACTACCTTCTTAAACTTCAGTCCTTTGCATGATTATCATTGTTATATGGACATGGATGCATACAAGCATAAACAGGATTTATTATTGCTTTTTCACCTTGCATACTTCTGTTTAAATTATGTGTAAAATTCTTTCTGAAGAGAAAAAAAAAGATACTTTTTTGAGCAGCTACAGATGATGGAAACATCTCATGAACTGAAAAGAACTAGTTGCTAACTGGCCTGATAAAGTCTACACAGTATTTTAAAATCAACATCATTTATATAAAGTTAATGAGCCAGAAGGTATTCAGATGTAGGAACCACTTCATTTAAGATGGATTAATAGGTAGGCATATCATTTTGCAATTGGGAAGCATTCAACTTTGAATGCAGTGTAAAATGTAGCCCACATAAGTTGATCCAGTACCATTAAGGAAATTGCTGCTGGCTTTTGCAGAGTTGCCAACAACAATACACTTAAATAGTCTTGTATTTATTTTCTGCTGAGCTGTAAGGACGTTTTCAGTTAATGATTGTAATTCTTTTTTAGAACTTCTGAATTGGGCTGAAGTAGAAAGAGCCTTCAGAGTGTTTACTTTTGAAAGCCTGAAGCTGACTGAGCTAAGCGACTCTGGTTTCCTGGAGAGCTCTGGATCTAGGCTTGGAGGTGATTCTGAAGAGTCTTATATCCCTTGGGATAATCCAGCCATGTTTGCTAGACAGCTGAGACAACTCTTCCTTATGGAAAAGAAATTTAGTGGGAAATCTCCAAGAAGCTCTGGTAAAAAGCTTTCTGTTTACATTACTCCTGAAGAATTTGAATCTACTATTTGTCTTACCATATCATTTGCTATTGCAGGGATGTGATTTTTCTTCTTTGCACAAGTCACCAAATTTTCAAATATTGTATAGCCTGTACATTGAGTAGCTCTGTAGGAATACTAGAATAACAACAAGAGTTATTTTGACTACATTATTAACAACTGTAGATGATGTAAAATGAATTTTCTCAAGTTCTGCATTTTCTCCTGCAGATTCTAGCATAATGAAAAGTTGTTGGCCTGGTTAAAGGAGATGTGTTGGCCAAAATGCAACATTAAAATCAAGTGATTATTTTTTCAGGACACAAGAACAGTAGAAATTAGATCGTTTTAAGCAATTATACCTTTAGGTTCATGATCACAGAATCATAGAATCATGGTTTAGGTTGGCAGGGACCTCTAAAGGTCATCTGTTCTGATATCCCTGCAATAAGCAGAGACATTTTCAACTAGATCAGGTTTCTTGGAGTCCAATCTGACCTCCAGTGCTTGCAGGGATGGAGCATCCACCACCTTTCTGGGATACCTGTTCCAGTGTTTTGCCACCCTTATGATAAAAATTCTTCCTTATACCTGGTCTGAAACTACCCTCCTTTCCTTTAAAACCTTTACTCCTTATCCTATGGCTACAGCTCCTACTAGAAAGTCTCTTCCAAGGCCAGAGTAATAAGAGCTCCCCTTATATAAGAGCCTTCTCTTCTCCAGGCTGAACTCCCTGAGCCTATCTTCACAAGAAAGGTTCTCCATCTTTGCACTCACCTTCATTGTGTCTGCTCTGGACCAACTTCAACAGGTCCATGTGCTCCCTGTACTGAGGACCCAGAGCTGGATGCATTACTTTGTGATATAGTCCATGCTTTCCTAATAGAGATGTCTAAGCAAGCAGCTTAAATGGGATCCTTTCTTTAGAAGGCTGGAGCAGACAAAAATGAGTCCTGCTTATCTGCTTTCCTTCCACATCTAGGGAACATTTTTGGGTGTTGGTCTATTTTGCTTTTGTACTTAGTCATGATATTAAATTTTGCAGTTACAAGCATAACAACATTTCAGCACTTCTGCAGCACAAAAGTAAACACCAGGAAGATAAAACATTTGCTATCAGGTTTTTTCAATCTTCTAAAGGCAGTCAGTAAATAGGAGTAATTTCCAAGAGAAGCAGAGCCTAAAGATGTATGTCTGGGACCTGAGCTGCTTATAAGACGCTTACAAACAAATACTTTGTGGTGTATTTTCCACCAGAAAAAGTAATTTTCCTGTGCATGTGAATTTTGATCAAATATTAGTGACCTATGCCCTAACTTAGGGAATAAAGAATTCTATTAAAAGGATTTTTTTTTAAATTAAGAGAATATAGAATTGAAATTCTTATTTGATGCTGTTCATATCAGATGCTCATTGCAACAATGGAATGACAATGTCAGATCCTCAGGAGAGCTAATATTCTGTCAGTAGCTTATGGATCTGTAAACCAATTTAATTCGAACTTTTAAATTTGCATTTGTCAAAAAATGTGTGAAAATACCAGAACAATTGGTCTTGCCTCTTAGTTTACTGCCATTTGTACAAAAGAATGCTTTATAAAGTATGAAGAAAAATGGTTCTTTGTTTATGAATCTGGAGGCTACTTCTTCTGGAGGGTACTTCTTTTTAGTGGGCCAGCATGGGTCAGATATAAAGGATTATTTGAGTGGGTTTTATAAATTCTTCTTTTTTTTCTTTTAATTTTATATAATTATCTGGCACTTGTGGCCACTGGGTTTTAAAGTGCTCTCTTAGTAAAGAAGCATAGCAGAGCTGAAAATGTAGTTATAGGACAAGTGTGAATAAAGGAAGCTTCAACTTGATGTCAATCTCATCAGGGAGACTAAAGAAATTGCACTACTCCAACCTTAGTAGGGCTGAAATTTCTGGAACAATTCTTTAAGTTCTCCTTTCAATTTGCAGGGTATACAGAAACAAGTGACGAAGATGAAGAAGACAATCCGGTTTATCCTCTTTTGAACGTAGATTTGGATCATCTTTATTCTGATATGGCAAGTGTGAGAAATGGAGTCAGCTAGGCTTTATATGAGGCAACAGAAGATACTGCTCAATGCCAGGCCATGTTACTGGGAATTCCTTTGCAATGCTGCATGCAAATGTCAATTCTGTGATGTTGGGAAAATACTGACATAATTTTAGGAACTGTGAAATCGCTTTCTTTGAAATCCAAGATGACAAGTTTTGATGAAGCTTTTAATGATAATTCTGTTCTGGTTTTGCTGAATACCAGGGGACAAATACAAACGTGAAAGTTTAAAAGAAATTGTCAAACTGTGTCACACTAGAAGACTCTGTAGTTTGGCATCTTCAGAATCACCTGTCTGCCATACATCCCATAACAAACATAGCAATTTTAAAATTACATCATAGGACATCTTTGAATACTCATGATTGCTTACAGAACTCAAAAGCATATAAGCTAATAATGAAAGTATTTTGATTATTTTGTCATAAAAAGTCCAAAACCAGACCTGCTTGGGTGTAATTGTATTTTTTATTAAACAGTACCATATGGGTCTGCACATATTCATCATTGTGCAGTTAATTGTGGTGCAACATGGGAACCCTGTCTATTAATCCAACAAGATTACAGTCAATTTAATACTGACACTGAAATGTTGATATTCATTATTTTGATTTCTTGTATTTTGAGGTGAGTCTCGAAAATTATGGCCTAGGACCAAAATTAGAAGAAATAAAAAAGACACAGAGGCGTTGCTTGACAGACTGGAGTTTGGAAGAGCATTTTCAACCACATGTTCTTCATCAGGTATCTTTGAACTGACAATTTCATCTATACAGTTCTCCCTCAAAACCCTATATAAAGTAATAGTAGTGGAGTTCAGGGTATTTTTCTGCTCAATAATTGATTCCGTTTTATTTTTCATTTTTACCAAAAATCATTGGGCTTTAGCTATTTTTCAGTTCTTTGTGTGAAATTTAGTTTGTAACAGGTTTTTATTTCCTGGTTTGGCCAAAGTGCAGCTGTCCTATTTGGCAGCAAGTCTCTTAGCTGAAAGTGTGGTGGAGATAAAACGACCTTGCCCTTAGGGGTCATCCTCTGTAGCAGTTTTGGGACTCAGTGCAGTGGATGTGAAAACATACTTTGCAAATGCCTATGCAGTGTATGTTTTATGGGCAAATAGAAAATTTGGTTGTTACAGTACTTCACCCTATAAGGGCTGAAAACATCATTTATAGAAATCTTGCAAGCTAAACACTAAAAACTTGCAGAAAGACAGAAGAACAAATCTGAAAGATATGCTCAAGTGTATTTGGCCTGAACTGGGAGGCATCCTCTTGGTAAGAGTGGATTTTTAGTTCCTGTGCTGCCTTGAGCTTCATAGGTTGTAATTCTTATTTGAACCTGACACATGCTATACATAGGTGAAGGAAATGCTGCCTGGACTTTTGCAGCACCACTTTAATGGGACAATTTTAAAGTCTAGTCATGCATTTCAATGCATGGGGCATCCCTTCTTATGCAGCATAAATAGCTAATATTACTTCAACTACCAATAATTAGTGAGTCTAGTAAAAATATACTGAAGGTAAATAAAAAATAGCATTTTATTGAAACTGAAAATAACCTTTTGAAGGAAAAGTCATGGCAGTCAAATGAAGTCCCAGATGACTAGATAAAGAGAAACATTTTGCACATCTTCAAAAAGGGTAGAAAGGAGGACCCTGGGATCTACCAACTTAATCAGCCTCAAGTCTGTTCCGGGAAAGATCATAGAACAGATCCTTCTAGAACCTTCAGTTGCATAGTTCTGAAAAATAATAATTTATAAGAAGGCTTTCTTCCACCTATGACTATAAAATAAGTTTCAGCCTGCAGGCAATATAAATATTGAAAATGATGGGGCAGTACAGAGCAGAGAGAAAAAATGTAGATCACAGCAAATCTCAGAGATGTGCAGGTCATGATAAAGCAAATTGAATACCAAGTAAAATCAACTGAGATAAAAAAAAGTAAATTGGTTTTCTTTTTATCTGGTATATGATAATTCTGGTTTTATTTGCTATTTACTTAAGTATTTTATTATTTAAACTTATTTAAGTATTTGTTTAATATTTTAATTCATTTGGGTTTTGTGTAGCTGAACTTTTTCATTCATGGTCAGTCAGAAGGTGAAGTACAGTTGGTATCTCTTCTCAACATGAATAGCAATGCAGTTTCAATTTCCACCTACCCGAACAATTCAGGTTGCTGGAATCCAAATGCTTTGGGTACATCTTGCAAGAGAGTTTTCTGGAGCACCTGTTGCTCAAAGCTGTGCTATGTAGCCTCTAAAACATATGCTACCATCTGGAGGAAGGATGTACCTTTATTCCTTTCCTTTTCAGGTTCTTCATACAGCATCCCAAGAATACAGATGTATTGATTCCTTTTATCATAGCCAAGATAACTCTTTACTAATGGTTTTTCACAATCCCATGAATCAACATCGTCAGAGCCAAGAGACTTGGAATATTGCTCTGCACTCTAATGTGGGATTCAGGTAATGGATTTTGTCTTCCCTGTCTCTTTCACAGTCATTTTTAATTAAAGCCATTTTAATTAAGCTTTAGGGCAAAGCTTAGAAATGACTATGTGACACACTTATGAGAAAGAAAGTCATGTGAGTCAAAAACAGTGCTGTATCAACAGAATTCTGTTGAACTTTTCTGAGTAAGAATAATGCAGAGTATAGCTCCTTATCATCAAGTATCAAAATGTAAATAACGTACACATACATATAAAATCATTAGAAATGCCACATCAAGAAAATTGTAGGACGTTCCAGGTGAAGAACATTAAAAAAAATTCTGTCTAAGTATATACTTATCAGGTTTTTCTATTATATATACATAAATTGAGTGATTTTGTGGGAATTTTTTTTGAGAAAAGGTCAAATCCCTTTGTTAATATTAGAATTTTTTTCGCACAGAATAACATATTCTTCTTAATTCCTTATCAGTACCTGCTCACCAGTTAGAGGTGTGCAAGTGGTTGATACGTCCACTTTAGCTCTTTTGTTAGTGGACCTATTTATTTTGGAACACATTTTTGCACCAAAGCAGTGATATACATGATGATGTAGATACAACTACTGAAAATAGAACAACTGTCCATGTACTGATGTGTAAAAGTATCAAAATGCCATGGAGAGACAGCTGAGGTATCTTTAACAATGTCACTCTGGTGCTCTATGACTTAATTAGATTTATCAAATAAAATTTCAAACAAATTATCCAGTATAAAAATACCTCCCCCCTGCTTGTTTGCAGGTATCCTTTTCTGAGTGTAGTGCCTCATTTATCATATTATGGGAATTTTAATAATAAACTTTTGTTGACACCTGTATATGTTTGAACAGGTTTGAACACTAAATAAGGAAAATGTGCCTTCCTGAAGCTATATTTTGTATTGTATTTTGTATCTTTGCTCTCAATCAAGGAGCTCTCTGTAGGTCCATCTCAGCTTTCCAGGCATTTGGACTTATATTATTTGCCATGAAAACAGGCTGTTGTGATTAGCAGGGAATAGGACCTGAGCCATAAGCTATTTACCAACAGAAATTCAAAGTTCCTTGGAAAAAATGCTGGCTGTCTTGTTGGGCAGATCCACAAAATCTGGTGTCTGGTGTCAGTGGTTTTGCATTTATATAGCAGCTAAAATCTTCCCCAAAAGATAAGTGAAAGATGTAGTAAAGCTGGGTCTTGCATTCAGACAGACCCAAGCACAGAGTCAGTGGACTCAAGGGCTGTAACAGAGCAGTTTGTTGGCACCCAGAGCTTTTTACTCTGCCAGCAGTTCTTATACTTCTTTGTGACACTGGACTTTAGCTGCCTAATTCAAGTTTCCTAAACATAAACAGCTGGTGCCACAAGACAGCTGCCTGGTGCATTTGGGTTTTCTGGGCAGAGTTGACACATATGCCATGAGACCCATAGGAGACCCATACACTTTTGGAACAAACACCAGAGAGCAGGTCACACACCCCAGAACTTCTAATGTGTCACCTGGTGTTTGTTTACACTGAGAAACACCTCCTGCCAACAGCATATGGGTGCTGTAGGAGCAGAGGGAGGTACCAGACTTCCTCAGGAAGCATTTGTCCCTGAAACCGCCACTCTTCATCTCTGGGGTTGTAAAACCTCAGATTGGCTGGTCATCTTGAAAGGGCATTCATTGAAATAGATCAAGAGCAACTGAGAGACAGGAAAGGCTCTTGATACCTGCAAAAGAAAAGCTGCTAATTTTGCGTCTAAATGAGAAATTATGCATTTTATCTGCATTATATATCTGTGTGCTTTCTACTTCTTACTCTTCCACATCCCCTTGAATCAAGGCTTAGACATTAAAGATAACTTCTGCTTAGGGCATGCCTACTTTGTCCAGTGACTTTTCACCAGGTTCTGTTTCAAAGCAGCAAGGAGTTCCTAAAGAAAATGGCATGAACACTGACAAGATGGTTTGGCTTTGCTCTTCTTTCCTAGAGACATTCAACATCACTGCTTTATATGCTGCTTAGAATTTTTGAAGAGCTATAGGTCCTCTTTTGCTTCTGTTATGTGTCACTGATACCTGCTTATACTCTGCAAAATAATCAGCACAGTTTTAGACTTTATTCAGCCTTACTTTTAAAGATCATTTCAGATTTCCAGACAAAGTATCATAAATATTTGCTAGTGTATGTTTCCAAGCAACATAACACTTCTGTGGAAGACACTCATTAAATACCTGGAGTGCTTCAAGCTATTGCCTGCAGTTAGCTTCCAGATCCTGCTGAGTTGCCAGAAATGGGCACAAACTCTACTTATTAATTAAGAGTAGTATTACTTGTTTTTACCTTTGTAAGAAATAAGTGACTCCTGATGAGTTCAGTAACAATTTCTTGGTTTTTATTTTATTAATATTGCTATCATTCTAATTCTCGATATAGCTTTAAGAGTCACACTTTCATCACAGAAGTGTTACAAATGCACAATAGATGCAGAGCTTGAAAATTTCACTGATAAGAGTTCTCCATCTGTGTTCACTTGTTACTTCTTTATTGGGACAGTTTATAGACTACAGACCATCTTTGTAGAGTGACAGCTCATAGTTGCTGTCTGGAATATAAATCTTATCTGCTAATCAGTTGGTTACAGAATCATGGAATAATTTCATTTTATTTAAGTGAGTCCTGCTACAGCAAATTCTCATGCAAAGAGGAAATATAATTTCTGATGTTGCAGCAGCTTTTGCTCCTGGAGATCCCAGTTACCTTCCTTCTTCTTTATGGATATCAGATCCTGTAGTTCATGTAGAACATTCAAAAATTCAGAAATTATGCTTTTTAAAGGGTAGGCAGCAGGAGTCTGCATGGGAAATCTAATGGATGCCACTGAGTAAGGAAATCCAAAGGCATGGACACATGTGCCTCCAATGATAAGTGTGTATATAAAACATTTTAATCCTGGTTAGAATAAGTGGCCACTCTATCAGGAAGCCAAATCAATTCAGGCATTATCAAAACCATTATTTTGCTCAAAGTTAATCTTAATGACATTTGTTTATAGTTTCATAGTAAACACATTACACAAGTTACTGGAAAAGAATAATCCTTTCTGAGAAATGCTTCTGAGTCAGACATTGGCAGTAGTGACATCAGAATACATATTAATAGAATGTGTATTTTAGACTTTGAATGACTGTTTCATTGGCCTAAAATATTTTCCACACGAATAGTCTCTTTTTTATTTATAACATATATTCATCTTCAAGTTATTCCAGTACTGGCAACTCTGTGTTCCAGACTAGTTCTGCCTTTTGTTTTCAACACCCTAGGTTTTTATAGCTTGTGCACTTTCCTTCAGATACAAACAGAATAATCTTCTCCCTACTGAGTGTATATATGATCAACAATTTCTCCATGCAAATTTCCCAAAGCAAACTCCACCTACATTGCAGAAGCTGGAAGAGTCTTGTGTATCTTGAAGCTGTACCTGAACTGTGTGTTCCAGCCTATGTACATGACTTATTAATTCTCTTGGACAGACTGCTCCAATAAGGACTTTAAAACTGATATGAGGTCAAGAATTGATTGTATTATCTGTATGTTCATACCCAAATGCCTCCACTACACACAGAGTTTTTGAATACAATTGAATCATCTTGAACTGTAAACACAAAATATCATGAAGTCATTATATATACTCAGCAACTGAATCTGATGCATTCTTCAAAAGCTCCTTTCAATTTTGCACACATGAAGAATTTTACTTTGAAGAATTGGGATAAAACTCCGAATGAGGGGTTGAGTGGCAGTTGCATATAAGATTCCCAGGCTTCCTCCTTTTTTGAAAGCAGTTGTTTAGTGAGCTACTTGAGCAGTCATGTCAGACACCTTTAGAAGATGAGACAATGCAACTGTAGATGCCAGCAGCAAATTCTGGATCAGTTTGTTTTTCAGTTCTCACTTCAACTTAGTTGTGACTTGTGAATATTCTTAATTCATGGCAGGTTATGGTACACTGATTCTCTCATCTGGATTTGGATGGCAATTTTCAAACACCTTTCTTGTCACACTGATAAAGAGGAGCTTGCATTGTATACAATAGTACTTCCATTTCTGAATAAACAAGTAAAGCATATTTTAAGAATCAACATCAATCAAAAGCAGCTAAGAAAATAAGTTATTCAGTGGCAAAACAGTAAGGTTGACAATGAGTCTGTACCTTTTGGAACTGAATGTCTTTAAGTTTTCTAATTTCCTAGATTTTTCTTTAGCAGGTGTTCTTTGGCAGAGAAGTTTCTTACATTTCTTTGCAGAAAGGATAACCAGAATTCCTAGTGTAACATGTACTAAGCAAATACTAAACAAGCAAAAGTACTACTTCCTGTAAAAACTGAGAGAAATCCTTTCAAATAAAAGTTTTGTCTCAAAGATTATAGAATAATATTTGTATAAGAAACTGAGAAGCCACGTGATCTTGTTTGACTTGAAATTACATTAGTGAATACTGTATTGTATTGTATTGTATTGTATTTTATTGTATTGTATTGTATTGTGGAATATTCTGCTTTTCAGAAACTATCTTGAGCTGGTGGCCAACTTAATTGAAGACTGGGTGAAAGAGGAAGAAGCTAAATACCAAAAAGAGAAGATGGGTAAGGAAATAGAGGCTTTTAAATTGGAAAAAGCCATGGCAGAAGGCCCTCTAGGACTGTCTGTCAGTGCTGTCAAAAACACTGGCTTTACTTAGAAAGGCAAAAGTGGGTATCTTTTTATTGTATTCTAGGAAATTAATTTTTCACTCTAAGTGCTGAGACACAGATTTTTTCAGAGCAGAATTGCATATGTTTTTTCATAGAATGACGCTGTTTTGACGTAGGCATAAATATAGGCATAAATATGTTTTGGAATGCATTAAATGTATATATTTATATATTCTGCATCTTTCTCTGTTTGGAAAACTGACAGCTTTAGTATCAAATTACATTTTCAATAGCTGTGCTTATCTAATGAGATTAATGATTACATACAAATTTGTATCTGTTCAGATGACTGAACATATGAAGAGGTGAGCAGTAGCTAAAGCTGGCAACATGGTTCAGGAAAATTCCTTTTTAAAGGGCAGGATAAAAGCTGTAAGTCAGAAGCTGTGGGCTAGAAGCTAAAACTGGAAACTTGAATTGACAAGACTGCAGAGCAAACTTGAATTACAAGCAACATTTTGGGTAGTGAAAATTGTAAGCAGTTCATACAATAACTGTTCAGCAGGCAGCAGAATCTGAAAACCCCTATTGACAAAAAAGAACTTCTGTCAAAATTTTCTACTTGTATATTTAAATGGTATTAACAGTAATTTGTTTATGCTTAACCTTTGCTTTTTTACCTTTCTTGAGAATGCACTTTGAAGCCTCCCAGGACTAGCATTTAGCATTTACAAAAATAGAAACATTACTCCTCAACTCAGTTAACACCTCTGATTATAGTTTGGAAACTCAAAGTACAGTTATGACTACTAAATCATAATTTGTACATCTCTAGCTGTCACAAGAGCTAGACTGAATCTTGCCCTTGTGGTGCTTCATGACAGTTTTGATTCATAGAGTACTTGCTGAAAGGAGATAATCACCTCTAGCTGGAACACGCAGATGGGCAACAGTGTTCTTGGGTGTTTTCAATTTCATTGACACTGCAATTTCTACTTTATCATGTAAAGCAATTTAACTAGAAGTTTCTGATAGTGTTAATTTAATTGAGTTTAAATTACCTTTTCTGGAAGGTAAATATGGGGTATCCAAGCATAGTATAAAATACACTTAGATAAGATACTCTTTTCATTAAGTCAAAGATGCTATAAAGCTGTAATAGTAAATGAAGGATATGGTGAGTGTTTCTTTAGTGAAGGTTTGAATATTCAAATAGCATTTATTTGGGATTTTTTGTCCTGAAAGGTTGTAACGTCTGTGACTCTGGTATTGAGCTTGTTCTGGCTCACTTAAAAACAAACAAACGCTGCCAGAGCAAAGTCTTCAATGGCAAAAAGCAGAGAGCCAGTCTTTACACAAATTGTTGATATATTATTTACTGTATTTGGTCCCCAGTTATGAGATTCAAGTTTCTTCTAACCTAAACAGACTTTCTATTTTATTTCTAAATATATTTAAGGTTTGCTTTATTGTATTATTATGCTTTTCCTGTTTTTAAATATACGTTCTTATTTGCTTGCACATTTTTTCCCCATTTTTAAAAATTATTTTCTTTTCCTGTATCTAAAACCCACGTATTCTCCCTTTCACTTTTAAAAGGCAGCACAACTGAACCTGAGAATGTAATAGAGTCTCAATCCAAGAAAGAAGAAAGTCCCATTATCAGAGAAGATTCTCTAAAGGTGAGGCAAAAATATTTATGTTTCTGAAATGGACTAGATAGCACTGCTTTCTTAGAAAGGCGAGCCTTTGTTCTGTACATGGGCTTGACTGAATCCTCTTAGTCTTTCTACTCTTTGTTATTTTTTGTATATGTTATTTTCTGTAATTTATTCCTTAATGATTATGAGTCATGTTATGTTGTTTTCTTAAGAGAAGACTATTAGGAGTTAGACTAGGCATTCCAAAGTAATTTATAATTGCAATACTAGGAAGTGAATGTTGTGAATAATATCCTACTAGTTACTGAAGTCTTCTGATTTTAAAGGTATGAAAAGATAAGATCCAGATTCATGGAAATACTTGTATACCCAACTGTACTTTCACTGTCTACAGCTCTTTGAAATTAGGAATGTCAATATTGTACCTCAGAGTTCCCTTATGTCAGAGAATCCCATTTTATAGATGGATCTATGAAAATTCACTGCAGATTAATTGACTTGTCCAGCTTTACACAATAAATTTCTGGCTGAGGCAGGGATTAAGCATACAGTTGTTTTGGTCATAGCATTAGTACTATCCATTAATCTGCACAAATCTAGTTTTATTGATATTATATTCTCTTTCCTTTTTTTGACTCCTCACAGACATATTATGTCTCATCTTCCTCACAATGTATAATGCTGTGCAATTCAAGTCCTCATTTGGAATATAGAGAGGAAATGAGGTTAACTGTCACAGCTCAATCGAGGCTAATGCCTGACTTGTAACTCTCCATGCTTGCTATTTCTTCCCCAGAAACACTTCTCCTTCAATATGTTTAGACTATAAAGTGCTACAAAACCCTAAATACTCCAAAAATCTCAAATGTTTTTCTAATGTAAGCTGATAATTTTGGCATTGACAAGTCATTCCTCTTTATGTAAAAAAATGAAATCATTTTATCGCACAGTTGCATTTGGGGAATAAACCAATACCAATGATGCGTTGTGGTTTGGTGGTAAACATTGTGGAAAAGTATTCAACAAAATCATTCTCCTGTGACTGATCATGTAAGATATGAATAATCACCTGATTCATTTCCTGTGGTCAACAATGGCTGCTGTTGTAGATTGAGTGAATCACTAATTTTATCCAAAATTTGGTGTGTGATATTGTGAGACTTTTGACATGTTTGGAAATGTGTTTTGGCGTAGAACTTTGATTCCTTTGGTTTTGTTTACTTCTACTCCTTTCAGCATGCACATATGAAATATCTTGTAGTACAAAGATAAACACAGTCTGTTTAATTCCTAATGTTGAATGTAGGCTTGGAAGATTGAGCAGGACCGATTACGAGAGGAAGAAGAAAAAGAAAACGAAGAAGAACAAGAAAAGGAAGAAAAATTGCAAAGTAAAAGGAGAAGCCAGGATTTAAGAGGAAGTAAAGAAGGAAATAAAAAAGGAAATAAAGGATCAAACAGAAGACCTTTGGAAGACAAGTATCAAAATGAGTCAGCGAAAGCTGCTGAACTTGAGGATCATAGCATTCCAGAAACATGTTCTGAGAAAGTTTATAAGGTAAGGAGTTGTATTATTATACCACATTAGAAAAGTGTTAACTATATACAGATTCAAGATTACAGCAGAGCTATTATCTATTGTGAAATTTGAGTTCAGGGCAAATTAAGCCTAACTGGGTCTTGTTACCTCTGTTGTTTAGCAGCAGATGCTTTTCTAAAAGTTTTAAAAAGCAGTTCTTGATGTTCAAGATTATCTTACACCAGATTATTTAATTTTTTTTTCGTGTAATATGACATGAACACAAACATAAGTTGATCATGTGAGATTTTTCTGGGAGAGGATAGGAAAGGGGAACATAAGAAGTTGTCCCATCTTCCATAGTAAGGAACTACTATACCTAGTTGAAATTTTGACTGCCTACACTGGAAATCACCATTTCATACATATCCTCTTTCAAAATTCATGTTCTTGAAGTGCCCTAATCTAAAATACATAGTTTTCCCATATTTCATAAAGTAACTCCATTGGCATGTGTGCAACAGGAAATGTGGATCTCAGCTCACTCTTGGAGATTAAGGCACATGAAATCTAAACTCTAATTGTACTTCATGTCCCTAGCAATCCCAGGAACTCATGTTTAGACAGTTCAATGGACACAGCAGCTCTCCTTTTTCTGCCTGTTGCACTAACAGAGGGAGCTCTTCACTAGTTTTGTTCAGTTTTTCAGCAGTTTGCACCACCTTATATTTGTAGAGTGTATCATGCATCCAAAACTTGCACACATCAATGTAATTCAGTCTAAATTTGCTTAAGTACAGACTTTAAACTCAGAAATAGATGGCATTTCAGTCTGGACTTATTTGAATATAGTCACGTAATTTTTTCCATCTTGTAGCACTGTGGAAGCCATAGCAATCTAATTAGATTTACAGTATCTGAATTCCAAAACCTAGAGGGCAGAAAGCTGAATCTTTACCTGACCTTTATGTGATCCCATGGCATTGTACTTGATCAGAACTTCTCTTTCTCTCACACTGTATGTTAACTCACCGGTCTCCTTGCTACTCTTCGGTTTCCATGATGGTTTTCACATGTAACAAGTTACCTCAGTTAGTAACGGGGAAATTATTTAGATATGACTATAGCATGCTAGATATTTGCTCAAGGTTTTTTTATATTGGTTCAATAGCTAAGCAAAAGATGTTGAGCAGTACAGTGTGATCCTGATGGTCTGTCCTTCATTTACCTCTTTCATGTGTACTGCCTTTCTCATTTACAGATAATTTAAAACTTGTTTTTTCCAGTTTCATGGCTACAATACAGGGGAGGATATCATTCAAGTATCAGGAACCAATCGGTATCTTTTCCCATCCGATGGAGGACAGATTCAAGTAGAGAAGATAGAGTTTGTAAAAAGTGATTCTTATTTTCTTTATGTTTTGCTTTGACTCAGTGCTAACTAATGGAATAATTTCTTAATCCAGAAATGGTTTTTCATGTCTCAAGAGTAAAAATTCAGTTAAAGAAATTCCATATTAGGCTCTATCATCATTAATCTTTACAGTTACCTGTAATAAGTTAACAGTTGATAGATAAATGAAGTGCCAGAAAACTAGAAATGCAGAAAAATCAGTTCGTATTTATTTTTTCAATGGCAACTGATGCATCATATTTCCAGGATGTTCAAATTATTTTTCCAGTCAAATGCAATATCTCTATGCCACAGAGTCTTCTGCAGACTCTCAGATTTAATTATGAGGAAGTTTATAATATATTTAGTCTAAACTCAGATAACCTTAATTTTGTCACCTTGTTTTTCTACTACATGATTCAGTCCAGTTATGAGCAATTTTCTTTTTTTGAGTGCTTTACTCAAAGTAGCAGGTGCACCATTTATTTGGGTGCAAGTAAGTTCTGAAGCCTGATGGAAGCAATAATAGTATTCTATTGCTTTACAGAAACTTTGATAAAGGTGAAAGTAATGAAAGACAAGCACAATTTCTTCGTTCATGTCACAGACCCCAAGGAAAACTTCAAGGAAGCTGAAGAGCAAGAAATTAATGAAGAACAGCAAATTACATCAGGTCAGTGGATTGATGTCACTGATATAAAGAATTAATAGTTTGATGTATTTAATAATTGAATGCAAAACTTACCAACTAACAGAAAATATATTGTTACCATTGGCGGAGAGTAAGAAAAGTCAGTGTTCCATAAAGTAAAGCAAAAATCCAGTTGACTGACTCAAGCACTGCATAAAGAGGTCTTAGCAAGATGTAGAAGCTCAGTGAAGGTCGACATGTGCATACCAGTCTCTCTTCTAAATCAAGGAAATCACCATTCCTTAAGAAAATAGTTTTCTTCTTTAGTGGAGGACTCATTTGGATCTTAAAGCCATTGTGACTTTGTGACCAAAGTCACAATGAAAGGGAAGATTTCCCCTTTTGATGTGAATCTCCTTTTGTGGGTCAGATGACCATAGCATTATGGCCTCAAGACCTTTGCTTTGAAAACAGATCTTTCTGCAATCCAGCAGCTTCTGCTGTTGGTTGATGTATTGTTCATACTCGGAAAGCATTGAATCCAAATCCTTTCTGAACCCAGGCGAGTGTGTTTCCAAGAAGCAAGACAGTTTGTAATAATTTGCGTATATGTTTGCCAAAAACATTATGGAATTCCTGTCACCAAACTGAAGAGTATTGGAAAAGGATAACTTAGCTCTTTTCTTCTTCATCAGTGTGTTATAAATGGATAATGAGATGATTGACTCTCGCAATTAAGGGATGACTATTGTGTAAATATTAAGAAAAGCTTTAGTGGTGTATAGTTATGTTATTGTGGTTTAGATGTCCTCTGTTCTCCCCACAGTTCACTTTTTCCCCTGTATTGTGACCATCAGACAGCTGGGGTTGTCTAGGACAGGTAAAAAGAAGGTGTGCACAGGTGCCCCTTACCTGGGGCAGCTGGGAATGGAAAAGCTTGGTGCTTAGGGTGTGCAGCATGGCAACACCTGACCTCCAGTCAAGTCACAAGAAAGCAGTCTCCACTGATAAATGGCAAAGAAGAGCTGACTGAGAATTGGGAGGGGCCAGGGCTGGCTGATGCAACCCCCAGGGGTATAAAAGACTGAACATCCATCTTGAAGGTGAACCAGCCATGTGGTATGCATGAGGGGCAGTTCCCAGTGCTGCAGATTTTTTCCCTATGTAGTCCTTTTGTTGTATTTTTGTTAAGGTTTATTAAACCTTTTAAAATTTTCAAAGTGAGCAGTTGTTTCTCACAAGTGTTAGAAAGCATCCTGCTCTTGCTTCTCCCCTTTGCTTACCAGCAATGTAATTGTAGGTTGTCTTAATACAAAATTTCTATACAGACAAGATTTTTTTTGTCTGCACTTCTGACAGCTGACCTGTATCATTGTAGGGTCTGCCAGAGTGTGAGTGTCTGAGACAAGTTGTATTCACTGGACACAAGTGCAAGGCTTTTCTCCCATGTAAACAGGAGCACTTTATAGAAAGGCAGTAGGGAAGACAAGAATCAATCCACTCTGATACTTGACAGTGGCTGGATGGTACAATGGTAAATGTGTAAAGCAGTCAAAATTCCAAAACATCTTCCTACAGGTGGTGTTCAGCAATAAGCATTGCAATGACAGACAAGAAATAGGAACAGGCAAGGTCTCAGGATGTGTCCCATGTTGATGAGTTTGGGAGATAGCTTGGCCTGCCTTAACCTGCTTTTGTAGTCTTCTCTGCTACTCCTCGTCCTTATATCATATTTCCCATATGTTGCCCATATGTGAAATCCTAAGTTTTTCTCTTACCAATAGAACATTTCTTTAAGGCAGCAGCAGCTGAAGTAGAGGCAAGGTAGGATCCAGTGTCTGGGAGGTGTATCTTGCCTAGTTCATGTGGTTTTCACCATGACATATTCATCACATGACACCTTGATCTGCCCCTCTATGTGAGTTTGACTCCTGATCCACTTTTACAAATCCCAGACCTGTCTTTGGATCTAATTTTGCAACTTTTTTGTCCTTTCTTTTACTTTCTCCTCAAAGTACATTCATAGAATCATAGAATATCCTGAGGGGAGGGAAGGGAACCTCAGGGATAATTGAAGTTCAGCTCCTGTCCTTGTGACAACATGTGAGGGACAGTGATTTTTATTAGTGCATAGACCACATGCAATAGAAATGGGCAGTTTAACATTCTTATCAGCCAAGAAACAAGGATCCGTAACTCCAGAACTGCTTAAATTCCATAAGACTTTACATTAGTTGTTGCTGTTAAACCTGTTTTTACACACCTAACTAATTAGAATGCTATTTCTGGCTAAAAACCACAGGTGTATTGCACAAAACTGACTATTATATTGTACCCTAAGAATGGAATGTTGGTTTTCCCTGCTCCATTTAGTCTATTTAGGTTAGTCATCCTCACTAAGGTTCTCACACCAGCCCCACTTCTCACACCAGCCATTGGTTTACAGGTCAGGTGGTTCTGATATGTGTTGCTGTCCTTAAAATTAATTCCTCTTTTTTTTTTTTTTTAGAAGAATTGAAAAATAAAAAGAAAGCTGTGAGCAAGTTTGGATCTTTTTCAGCCACCTTGGAAAATGGAATCCAGCTGTCTCTGAGCTATTATGGACCTACAGGGGAGGCAGGTAAAGTAAGCAAATAGAAGAGGATATTTGAGAACCATAGGGGGAATTTTTTTCCTTTTTTTTCCCCTTCATACAATCCTTAACCCAATAATTTGTTGCATGCAATTCTTCCTTTCTCAGCAGCTGTTACTACATGGTAGAGAATTTTCAGCAAGGCTCAAAATGAGATTACATTGTCAAGAATATTCTGATTCAATTTTCAAAATGGAGGGAGGTCTCCAAGTTTTTCTGCTTACTGTGAAAACAGAGCAGTGCAAGTATTGTTATTAAGTAGCCCAGCAAAATCAGCCAATTAATTTGAGCCAAAGAAAATGTGATTTGCTGAGGAGTCTTCTTGGTTTTCCAAGAAATAATATTTTTGTAAACTTATATAGGCAATTCTGGAGTTTTCATTTTACTTTAGGAGTTGGACTTTAGGTTACAGTTGTGCAGACATAGTGAGGGATTTCTCTCAGCCTTTCAATAAACACATTCACCAACTGGAAGCAATTGCTTCAGAAAACCACAGTGAAAACAGCGTCTGCTTTTACCAAGAGCTTTTTTTTCCATTACATTTGAAGGCCCCTGAAACCATCTTATGGATAAAAGTGAAACCCTTCTCTGATCAGAAAATAATTCCAGCATTTTTCAGCTCTTAAAATATGAAAACATTTAATTGAATGCATCTTTGTGTGGACTGTGGTAAACCATTCAACTCTACACTCAGTTTTAATTGTTCAAATATATTTTACAAATTAATTACTAAAAAAATAGACTGCTTAGACTTTGGTCAAAAGAGCATTCACAATAGTGGCCTGCAAAAAATCTTGGATTTTGGCATAAAAGAGAGACATGTCTGATTAAACACCTACATGTCAGCTGTGATGTTTATGTTTTTTCACATCCACCATAATCATCCCATTCTGCATTAGAATAATCCTTGCCATGTTGGGCTTTAAAGCGCTGCTAACTGGCATTCTTTCATTGCTTGCAGTTTTTCTATGATCATTGCTTATGCCAAACCCCCATGGGTCTTTGTATTCCAAGTGCTCAGAACAATTCTGACCAGAAATAATCCCTTAGATGATTCTCATATGCCGTCCATCCCTAATGCAGAATGGTATGACATGAAATCTGCAGTTTCTCTCCACTGATCAGTTAAATTGTGTGCAAATTACCCTTTTTTCAAGCAGTACTGAAATAGTTTTCTGGAAGCTCTCTAATTCTCATTTTTCTTACTGTTTTTCATACTTTATCTATTTCATCTTTCTTTTAGGCAAGCTAAGGTGACAAAAGTTCTCAAGATGTTTTTCAGCTTTATGCAACTTTTTTTTCTTTTGCGGGGCAGATGTTAATATTTCTTCAAGTTTTGAATTATTCTTTGTTTTCTCCAGCATTATCAAAGGTTAATTTCCAATAACCTTACATTTTTGTTAGAAATAATCTCCTTGTCTCTTTAGGAAACTGGGACTGCTTAAGCACCTGCAGGGCTTTTGATTCTGGATACTATAGAACCTCTGCACTTACTCTTTATATTTTGACAAAATCATGAGAGTACAATTTCAAGTCCTAGACATGTGAATGTATGTATCTGGAATTTTACATCTCCCTCAAGATTTCTAACGTCACTTTATCTCAGTCTTGACAATCCACTCTTTTCCATTGTTACCCTCGGACACCATATTCTTATTTTGGGGGGCAACCAAAATAAAGGCATGGGTGAAATTTCTATGAAAATGAAGTGTCAGTTTGTTGAAATAATTACAGAAAATGTAAATTTGTATTTCTTTTATTTTAAAGAAATTGTTTTGAAAGGCAACATGACTCCTTCCTGTTGACATGCCTAGAAGGCTGTCCTAATGCTTGGCTTGAAGAATTGCAAGAGTCTTATCAAGTCTAGATCGTTAGAATCTTTCTGAGGAATTATAGCAAAATAGCTGTATGTGGTACAAAATTTGTCAAGTCTGCCTATGCTGGATCAGTCCATGATAAAGCAGAACACAGTGATCATTTACCAGATACTAGATTCCGAATGTCTCCGCTTCTAAGTATTCTGGAAGTAAAAAATAATTTTAAAATTATATTTTTTTTATTTTTGAGGTGACAACTAAGTGACAACTTGTGGGAAGCAATAGTTTCAAGATGTCTTTTGGGCTAATAAGTTGTCAGTCTGTGAAAAGATTTTCTAAGTACTCTTATATATACAGTCCCTCTATCTGAAATAACAAACTTCCCCACTGAGGTGATTATTTTTAAGGTAAAATTCAGTGAACAAAATCTTTTTTAAAAAAACATGGCCATCTACATTTATGAAGCTTAATTACATTGAAAATCTTGCTTTTCCTTCCTTAGATGATGAAACAGCTCTTGTCTTAGAAAGAATTCTGAACATCCCTTCTGTTCATCTTCCGACGGTAGTTCCAACAGTTTCTGTTATTACACCATCGCAGGGAAAAAAAGATAAGCTTGACAGAGGAAAATCAGGAAAAGCTTCTACCAAAGGAAACCGTCGCAAATTAGCCCCTTCACCACCTGATAACGTGAAAGAAGAGCAAAAGGTGAGCGCAGAGACAATATCCAAACCAAAGAAACAAAACAAAAATTCAAAAGCATGAACTTCTGTAAAAGGAACATATATTCTTCTCAGAGGGCTTTAAGCTGTGCCTTTACAAATTCCTAACAATTTGTGGTGCTCTTAAAGATATGTTTTATTCTTTCAGTTGTTCTCATATGTACATACTGGCAGCTGTTAATGAACTTAGTCTTTATGGCTCCATGATGTAAAGCAGTGAGTCTGCCATGACCCACATTCTTTTGTCAATTTGGCTTTACAGTTACAGCTGTTACACTGCAGGTGATCAGGAGGCTGGAGCACCTTCCCTGCAAAGACAAACTGAAACCTGGAGAAGAAAATGCTGCAGGAAGACCTTAGAGCATGCCTTCCAGTACCTAAGTGAGGCTACAAGAGAGCTGGAGGGGGACTTTTTACCAGAGCTTGTAGTGAGAGGACAAGGGGAAATGGCTTTAAACTGAAAGATTAAGATTAAATATTAGGGAGAAATTCTTTACTGTGAAAGTGATTGAGGCACTGGAACAGATGCCCCGAGAAGCTGTGGATGCCCCATCCTTGGAAGTGTTGAAGGCCAAGTTGGATGGGGCTTTGAGCACCCTGGTCTAGTGGATACTGTCCCTGTCCATGGAAGGGGGTTGGATCTCAACAATCTTTAAGGTCCCTTCCAACCGGAACCATTCTATGATTATTAATACCTCAGTTAAAAGAACTGCTAAATTTTTAGTTTAACCAAGTAGAATTTCTTTGGGCTTTCCGAAACCCATATTCAAAAGTCGAACCAACCAGCAATTTAGTGAAGACAGTTTTGCAGTACCTTGCTCTGTAATTTGGTCTTTTAAGCTCGTAAAAGCCAGGAACTAGCAATTTGAGGAAGTTACTTTAGCCTTTAACTGGAGCGCTTCTATCATAGTACAGATCTTTGGGAAGTATGAATGAATCTTTGGAAATCTTTTGGAAATCTTTTGAATTCTGAATTTCTCTTCTGAAGTAGTTTTTAGTACCTTGTGGTTGAGGTAACACTCTGGTTGTTGTTGGAAAACAGATTCTGTGCATATCCACAAAAAGGGCTCTTTACCTAATTTCATCATGGAAAGTGGTGTAGGGAGTTGCCAAACAGCACTCAGCAAAACATACAGCAATTGTAGGGCACAAATGAACCCTATAGTAAAATAGCCCTATAATTAAAAATCTGTCAGGATGACTTCTAAACCAAATGGTTTTTAGCTACTTGGTTTGGAATTACTTTGCATTGAGAGTATCCCTATTGGTGCATACAGCACCTGCCTGAGTCTGCAAGTATTTCGGAGAATGGGATTAGAATCCAAATCAGACTTGACAAATTCACGTGGACGTGGTCTGTAAAATAGGATGGAATTCAGTAGGAATAAGAGGTAGGTTCTACAATTACATATAAATAATCTGTATATATCTAGAGAATGGATGACAATTGTGTCAGTAACAGTTCTATAGAGAATGGTCTGAGAGTTGTCATGGATCAGAAGCTGTCTGTAAGTCAACAATGCCATCTTCCTGTGAGAAGGGCAAAGACCACTGAGATGTAAATGCAGAGAAGTATAGCCTGCTAAATATGTGAAGTAATTTTTCTTTTAGGGCAGGTAGAGTCTCAGTTGTAGTATTGTGTCAGTTGTGGATACTGCACTGCGAGAAAAACATGAGCCGCTCAGAAAGTTTTAAGGAAAGCATGAAGAAAGATTACAGGTCTTGAAAACTTAACCAGTGAGAAAGATTTAAAATAATTAGTTTGGGTTTCTTTGACCTTGAGTTGAGAGACAGAATAGCCTTCTGTAAAGACCTAAAAATAACCATCATCTATTATGTCAGCTTGTATCATCAGAGATATTTAGAAGTAAACTGATTTTCTGCAGTAGTGATTCAGGTCAGTCTCTGGGAAAATGTCAGTAAGGCTAAGCAAGGTAAAGCCCTGGAACAGTTTACCAGGAAACCTCCAGTCCTGGAAATTTTTAGAATAGCTTACATTAGAATTTTTTGCTAATGGTGCAGTTATACTTGATTATTGTTTTTACCATTAGACAGGGAGCAGTAGATGACAACTGAGGGTTACTTCTGCCCTATTCTGTGACTTCTACCTCATGATGCTGTTAGCACAATCTTAGAGTATTGAGAGTAGCCTTAATTACCAGTAATATTATGTAAATTAACTGTAAAATATACAGCATCTTTTATGTTGAAAAACAGATGGCAAAACATCTGCCATTTCCCCCCTGTATTTCTCCTCCTAGAAAGCAAGAATATGGAATGATACCAGGACAAGTTCTCTCTGTTACCTATGTCTGCAATCCAAAACTTTTCATCTTATGACTACTGGCATAGTGTAGTCCATTGTTACATAGGTTTTTGAGGGGATGATTCTTCAAGGTGAATGAAAGATAGCATAATCAAAGAAAATAACTAATATTTCCACTTCTGAATCCATAAACTCTGAAAATGTTAAATATGAGTGGTAGACAGCACTAAAAAAAAAAACAAGCCACTGTTAAAACAGAATCTATACAGACTAAAACTGTACTTTCATTTTTTCTTTATTACTTTAAAATGTGGACTAGAACCTAATTAATTTTTCATTCTGTAGGTAGAAATGCAAGAACCAGTTCCCCAAGCACAAGAGGTGTCAGATGCTCCTGCTTTTCCAAGTTTGAATGTCTCCTGTCCCAACGGACTTGTACTAACTTTCCTCAGTGAAAGGTTTCAAGGTTAGTTTTCTGAGACACTGCAAAGTAAGGAATTTCAGAGAAGCTAAGACTACAGAAGAAAATTATTTCTTCATTGGTGGGTTTAGATGTAACTCTGATGTTTTCAACGTCAGAATGCTAAGCCTGTCGTAATGTCTATTTCATAGTATTTACAACATGAATAATATGATTTTATTCAAACAAATATGAAATCTAGAATCACAAGTTGTTGAACATAAAAGATTGAGGGGAAGGAAGTAGCAACCCTAAAAAGCCCTTGAGAGTCATGTTGGATAATCGTTTGAATATGCCCATAGATTGGAATACTAAAGAAAAACAAGCAAATTCAATAAATAAATACGTATATATAGAGGAATCTTGAGTGATAGCAGGAAGATGGTTACATTACCCATGTCTGCACTTCCTTTGAAAGCATATGTACTTAAACCCCCAAGACAAAATGTTAATAATTTGAAAGATTCAGGGAAGAATCACTAGAATGATTAAAGCATCAGAATATGTATCTTATAATGAGCTCATTTCACCAGAGAATTCCATTTAAGTACCAAGGAAAAGGTCAAAGGAGTGACTAGTGCCAGCCTGGAAGTACAAGAAAACAGAATTTTGGTGATAGGTGGTAAACACAGGTATACAAAGTTATTACAATTTTCAGGGGCTTGAAACTGAAAACTAGGACTTTGTACTAGGTTTAAGTTGTACTTATTTGGTAAAAATGTTACACTCATAAATGGTAAGGATGATTAACAAAACTAACCAAGGCTTGATGGAGTCTCTGCTGCTGGTTTTACAATGGGGTTTTTTTTGTTGCTTTTCTAAAAGATGCAATCAGTTTCAAACAGGAATTATTTCACAGAAGTCCTTTGGTTTATGCCATCCAGTACATAGAGAGAAAACACCCAGAATAAGCCTTTCTGCCCTTACCATTGGATTTCCTTTAGACGACTGATAGGGTATATGGATGCTTTAAAGCTTCTGTGCCTGACAAATATTCTGCAATAATTATTTTCTGCAGTGTTTTTGAAAATTACTGTTGGATTCATCTTTGCATGTTCTAAACTGTACTAAATCTTGGGGTTTTTTAGTCATGCTGTTAGGTTTTGAATCAGAGAAATGTGAATTTTGTTGTTGTCTAGTTAATTCTAAAAACAGCCATGTACAGATGTCATTTAATACCTATGTACAACAAATCTGTACAGCTCAGTAAATGTGCTCTGATTAATCTGGCATGAAGTAATGAACATGGAGAGTGTTCTCAAACATACATAGTTTGGCAGGAAGCATAAGTTGAAATGCTGAGTAGTTGAGGTGAACAGAGCAATTACAGACACTTACATTGAGTCTCTCAATAAAATTACCATAATTGTACCCCTTAGCATACTCAAAACACTGCCATCATTTAATCTAAGAAATTTACTTGCTCAAGCAGATAGAATATATTACTTGGGTTTCTCTACAAATTCAAACTTGGTGAAACTCAGTTGGGGTTTTTTTTCACCTTTATGGGCAGTTAGGGAATTCCTATCATATGATGTTAGTCTTCCAAAAGTTTGGCATCCATAAGAAATCCATCTTCACATTCCTCTTGTTTTCATTTGGAAAGACAGCCACCTTCACAAGAGGATGCAGAGTTTCTGAGTAGGTGACTGTTTTGAACTTTGCTCTTTGCTCTGAAATCAGGGTCTGTCTTTTACTCTGTGGATTACAAATTCAGCCAAGGAGGGTTAGTCTCACCTAGAGTTGCACATCTTCTGTCATGGTACTGGGTGTGTAGCACTGTTTGAATGTTTGCTATGCAGTACTAAGTAATTCAAAGTTTGCTTTCAGATTTGAAAGGTGAAGCCGCTGCCACTGAAGCAAAGAAAGAGACAGTAGAGGAAAGTAAAGGCAAAGCAGATGAGGAAGAAAAGGAAAAGGTTATGCCAAGTGGAGGGAAGGAAGAGGTTATGCCAAGTGGAGAGGAGGAACATCAGGTTACAGAAGGCGAAATCAAGCAGGAAGACACCCAAAGTGAACAGGCTAAGCAGCCTCCTCTGGAAATTATGGTTAGACAGAGTTATCCCCAAAAGGTAAAGAACTCTCATCTTTATTCATCTCCAGCGAGGCAAAAAGAACAAGAGGTGTCAAGAGTCATCACTAGTCAAGGAACTGTCATAAAGCACCTGATGGATGGATCTACCCAGGTATGTTTGGTAGAATTCATTGCAAGCAGTACAATTTAGTACAGTTCATTGTAATGGAAGGTAATTACCCTTAAACTTGTTTTTGTCTACTGAGATTGAGAAGTGTCCAGTTTGTAGATGATGAAGTTAAGTAATACTGAATTATGCAGCCATGTTAAGACTAAAGTACTCTTGGCTTTGTTCAGAGTCAGAACTTAGCAAGATTTAAGTATGAAAATTTCGGGCACTAAAAGGTTTTAGGCAACTTTGTTATTAGGAAATAGCTGAATATGGTTCAGAGAAGTGCATTCCTAAACTTAAACTTCTAAAGTGTGGATTAGTTCAGCTTTGAGTATTTTTGGCAATATGAAAGCATTCATATATTTTTTTCAGTTTAAACACTCATATGGGATCCAGAAAAGACATGAGCTCCTGTAGACACATTTACATACCCTAAATTTTCAGGGGGAAAGTCTGTATATTCCTAAGTATCTGTTTTGTTTACACATATTTTTGTTGTGTAGAATTTTGTTAGCTTAGGTGCTATAAGCTATCTTTGCAAATTTTATAAACAATCCACAAGCAACTTTTTTTTTTAACTCTAAGACTCTACATGTAGTTAGCAAACAGATGAAAGAGGTATCATCTAATTTGACTCAGAATCTGTCAAAATAATTCCTTATTTCCTGAATTTCTTTTTCCCGTCTAAGGAGACCACAATGCCTAGTGTAAGTTCTTTACATTTATTCATCACACTAGATGTTAAAACATTTTGCCAGGATTCCTGAGAAATATATCCACTTCAGAAATAGCTGCTGTATGTCTATATATTCACAACATACTATGTCCTGAGAGAAAAAATGTAGATCTTATGTGCCTAAAATGATTTTGCAGTAGTCTTTGCTTAAACAGATTGAGTGTGTCCTTCTTTGTATTAACTTAATGTCTATGAGTCATCAGAAACTTATTTCATATGATAAGCATTCAAAAAAGAAGAAATAAATTATTCCTTACAGTAACAATTTCAAGAGTTGTTTCTATATGTTGTCCATTTCTTTTCTACATTTTACTGTATTTATAAATTAATTTAGGGATGGTTGGAGTAATTCTAGAGTTTATCTAGACACACAGAGAACATGCATATCAAGAGATGAGGGTAGTGGATCTCAGAAACCAGACATAATTTGATGAGTAAACAAGACTTCTTTTTGTTGACTATCATAATGGCCAAAAAAGTTCACAGCACTCCTAGACATGTGTAATATTTCAGTACAGGTCAATATGTCAATACATATTATACATTATCACTGCTACCAAAAAAAAGTCATTAACCTATGACCATTTAGTCGAAGAATAATCTTTACTGTTTATTTTTATAATACCTTTTTGTTATTAGAAGAGTCCCCATTAATTAGATCCACAGACTGCAGCAAATAGCACTCCTTCTGGCAGTGACAAATGGGATGAAATTTAACAAAAGCAACTCCTGGATTCTACAGAGTGGGACAGAGTAATGCCAGGCACGTGTACAAACTGGGAGAGTCTGCAGAGCGCCCTGCAGGGAGGGCCCTGGGGGTGCTGGGGGCAGCAGCAGCTCAGTGAGAGGCAGCAGGGCATAGCCCAGAGGGCAGGAACCGTGTCCTGGGGGCATCAAACACAGAGCACAGCCGGGCACAGGGGGGATCATCCATCACCCGCTGTGCTCAGCGCTGCTGCGGCCTCACCGCAGGGCTGGGAGCAGCTCTGGGCACCATGACTCCAGAGGGGTGGGAAGGTCCTGCAGTGACTCCAGAGAACAGAAAAGCTGGTGGAAGGGCTGGCAGGTGCATCCTGAGAGGAGTGGCTGAGGGCTCTGGGCTTGTCTGCTTTGGAGAGCCAGGTGCTGAATGTCAACCTCCTGCTCTCTGTGGCTCCCTGACAGGGGAAGTGCAGAGGGAGGTGCTGATCCCTTCTCGCTGGAAGCCACTGACAGGATACATGGAAATGGCTCAAAGGAGCACTGTGGGAGGACTGGACATTGGGACAGGCTGGACATTGGGAAGCATTTCTTTACAAGAATAGTCAGACACTGGAACAGGCTTGCTGAAAAGGTGGTTGATGCCCCAGGGTTGTCAGTGTTTAAGAGACATTTGATCAATGCCATTGACGAGATGCTTTAACTTGGTCAGCCCTGAAGTGGTCAGGCAGTTGGATGAGGTGATCATTGTAGGTCCCTTCCAACTGAAATAGTCTGTTCTATTAATTCTCTTCAAGATAGCTTCTTTATTTCTTGTATTCATTCTGAGCAATTTCACTTTTTTCCTCTTGACTATCACATTTGTGACACATTCTTTAAGACTTGCTTGTGGTGTTTGAATTTATTTTAACCTCAAGTATGTCCTTGATTTCTGTAGATTCTGTTTGCTGATGGCACAGTGATTAATAGCCCTGATTCTGGTCCTGTCCTACCCCCACCTGCAGATGAAATACGGATGAAATCTCCCTTACCAGAATCAGACCATTTATCTGAGAATAGCTCAAAGAAAGGTAATATTTCTTGTGTTTTGGAGAGATATAAAGTTAGTAGGGCTGATGATACTTAATAAAGAGCATATATCTTTAGTCTGAAAATTCTGACAATGTGAAAATGCAATTCTATCTGTACTCAGCTGCTGCACACTGCTATGTTACCTTCATAGCAAATCATCTCTCTCCTACTCCAAATTTATTTTTCTTCTAACATGGCAGCACTCTAATAAGTAAAAGGTTGTGTAAGAACTTCGTCGGTAGCGGAGTGAACACAAGGTCTTTTAAAATAAATCCTTGTAACTACAGTAGTGTTAAGTCCTTGCTTTTTTCTTACAGTTTTCAGTCTTTGTATTAAGAAATGTTTCTCTGACAGAGGATAAATTTTTCTTTCTCACTCCATGTATTCCAAGGCACCTACTGTTGGTCATTATCAATTGGTTGTATGGACATACGCTTGGTGGTAATATAGCCATTCTTATTGTATTTTGACTGAGAAAGAACGAAATAATGTTTACTTCATACCTCAGAGTGTAGTCCAAGATCACTGTCAGTATTACTTAGTACACAGAATAATCCTGACCTGTCGTATTAACATAAAATTTATTGGACATAGGTGAATAAAAATTCCTGCCAAAGAGAAAGATGTCTCAATATGAGACTTTTTGAGTCAAGTCCAGTCCTTTTTCTTAGGATATTCCTTTAGATACCTGCAAAGCAGAACAACTCTGACAAACCGTTTTCTAATATGAATTCTCAGTATCTCTGACTAGTGTATGTCCTTTATTTCTTGTTCTTTATTTATGATCACTTTTTCACCTTCTCCCCTGCTTATTCTTGACAAATTTCTAGTAAAGAGTTTCATCTCTTTTTGGCCTCAGGGGTGCTTTTTTGCTAGATAATTGCTCTAAGTCTTTCTGCCTGCTCTCTGGACTACACTCTTGTCTTTTGCGTACACTTTGTCTATTTTTCCTGAATACAGGAGACTAGAGTTCTCTAGAACATTACTAGTAAGATCTCTCCAGTTGCCTTTCATAATGAGATCCTTTTCTTCTGATGCACCATAGGATTGATGGCATTAGCATGCTATTTACTTTTTCTGTAAGGAAATACATTAGATAAGCCTAGTTCAAGATCATGTCTTTGAGTAGCAGGAGTTGTAATTTTCTTCTAGCCTGTTAAATAGTTCATTTTGCAATTCTGTCAAAAGCACTGTTCACAAACTGAACTTTACTGGTTTTGTTTTTTGCCTTAGAGAACATCGTCTGATACAGAAATTTTTGTTTCTGCAGGAAAAGGCAGTGACAAGACATCACTACCGTCTCAGAAGTCTGATGAGTTTGAAAAGGCCATTTCTACACAACCTAAGGCAGGAACCTGGATAACAACAACTCCATTAGGCATTCTAGTGGGCACAGAGGGTGCCACAAGAATGGATCTGAAGCCTCTTTTAATGTATCAGGCCACAAACCCAGCTGATGGAATGGTATTAACTGCTTTGGTGTTACTGTAGCACTGTCTATAAGCTAAGAGACAGGGCTAGCAATCATAAGTTGTAGGATTTATTCTTTTAAAACATCCTACCGGTTGTGTTACTGCACTGTTAGAAATGCAGTAGTTTTAGATTTTGAAGAAAATGTGGTTCCTCTGTCTCTCAAGTAGATGACAATGTGGTAGGCAACCTTCTTTATAGCTTCAGTCCTGATCCCTTGTATTGTTGTTGCTGCTGTCAAAAGTATCACAGGGCCAATATAAATGAGTAGTCCTTCTTTCTTTCAGATTATGACTGTACGAGAAGATGAAGTGATAATTGTTGAAAAGCCAGATGGTAACAAAGTAGTAGAACATGCTGATGGTACCAGGATCACATCTTTTTATGAAAAATATGAAGACCTTTCTGCACCAGAGAGTAGTGTGGAAGCAGGTAATATCTAAAGGGGAGCACTTACTTTTCTTGCACTTAATATTTTATGAAGCAGAAAGTTGTCCAAATATATACTAAAGGTGGCTTATACCAGTAGCCTAGATAATAGATCCACTAGTGCAGTCTAGGCTTAGTTTGTTTGCTTTCTTTCAGCAGTATATTCAGTGCAAAAATTATACTGTTGCAAGTAATTTAATCTCCTTCTTTCGTACCTATATGGTCCTCCTTCCCCATGAGACCACAGTGCCAGGGTTTTAGTGTGTTCATTGCCCTCTCTCCCCTGCCCTAATAATAACAAGGAAGCTTTGAGTTTTAACTGAACAGGTATGAAAGGACCAAGGCACCCTTACATTCCCCAGTGAAACCATGGACTCACCAGCCTTGGAGATACTAAATATCTGAATATGGCTGTGGAAAATGGCCTGCCAAGAAAAGTGAAACTTGTATTTGCCTGAAATAAGTGGGGCTAAAGATCATCTGTGACTCTTCTGGCTGGTGGTGTATTCTGTATGACTGCTTCATGTGCAAGACAAGTCCTGTCCTCCTTAATTAAAATGAAGGGGACATTTAGTGTGTGGGCATCTGGACTGTTCAAACACAGTGGAGGGAAAGACCATTATTGATTTAGCAGAAAATGTTCAGGGACATCTCCCTGTGGGATTTCAAAAGTCAAAATCCCTTGAACTGACCTATCTCTTCAATAGAAAGGCAGTAACCAGATTAACATGCCTGTTATCATTTGTTTTCCAAGATTTGTGTTGCTGAATAGGAATTTCTTCACATTTTAGAGTTTGTATTACAGACACAAAGAATTTCAGTGATCCAACTTGTATATTGCAAATATGCAGATCATTATGGTTAGTACCATACTTGGTACATTAGAGTGTACTTTCCTGGCCAGCTACAGACGGTTACAGATACTTTTTACTGTTGGGTTTTCCTATATTGAATTCAAAGTCCAGAACTTAAAAGACTGCATATTGTTTACATAACATAAAAATATGTGATAAAGGATGCTATGAAGTTTATGAAGGTCTTGCACTGAAAAGATAAAGATCCAGCACTATGACAGAAAAAGCAAATTGAATCCTAAGACATTTCCATGATTCTTGTGCTCCTGTCTCATTGTTCTGCATTAATTCTTAGATGAACCCTCAGAAGCCATTGCAAAGAAGTGCAAAGGTACACGAGTAGAGCATCCTGAGTTTGCTACTGTTATAGCAAATTGGGAGGATGGTACTTGTTGTACTGTCTTTGGAGATGGGACATCTATTGTGGCAAAGCCACAGGGAACATATCAGGTGGGAATTATTTTTAGTTTGTGACAGTGATGTTTAATCTTTGTGTTCCAAGTTCCCTGCCATTAGCAGCTCTCACCTTCATTACCTCCCTTCTCTGTAGTCTTCACTAATTCCTATTACTCTATCTCTTTCATACTCTGCCAATGTTTAGATACTTACTCACAAATGTACAGTGTATTTAAATCACAGTCTCAAATTTCCTGAAGTTAAATATCACAAAGACTCAGATCAGCCTACCTCTAGGACCTCATATTCCTTCTTTCTCCCCTTTGATTCCTCTAAAGTGGATGATTCAATATTGAATGTCTGAAAGCTGTCCTCTTGATTTGTATCTGTTCTTCATTTTCACAGTATCTTTAAATTAGAATTTTCACCTTTGAGGATTGAACCTCTTCCCTTTTTGCTGTCATAGGTTTTACCCAGCAAGGGAGGCTTTCTTTTCTTTGATGAAGACTGCTCAGCAGTTTACAGCCATGAAGTTTATGATTTCAGCAACAAGGAAGAAGAGAAACAAGCAGGGAGATACATTATGAAACACACTTCCAGCACTATTTGTGAGATGATGGATCCTGAAGGAAATACTTTCAAGGTAAAATACACAGAAGAAAATAAGTTTCTACATTCTATTATAAACTTCTCTCAAAGTCAAATTGTAACCTTGTAATATTTAAAGTAGCCAGAATCAGGTTTCTGATAGCTTCTTGACTATATGATGGATATTCTTTTTTTATACTTATCCCTCTTTAGAGAGACTGAAACAGAACACACGGTGTACAATTTAGCTCACCTTTAATTAGCATGATTTGTACTATAGCAAATAATCAGCTCTGCAAGTGAGGATTAAAAACTAGGTATGTCAGATTCAGTTAATGGACTGTGCTTTGAATCACCCTTATTTAAATTGTATCTTGAAAAAGGCATTAGTATTCCTTTTTAGGTCGTTGTTAGTTGTCTTGTTTGAATATGTTAATGTTACCTTAGTTAATAAGCACAGAGTGTTTTCAAGAAGGAAAATACTGTAGAAGCTCACTCAGTAGGTATACATCAATGTCTGTCAAGTATTACCGTTACCTGGCTTGACCAATGAGTGAGTATTTTTGTGTAACAGTCCTTGGGAATTTATTAAATACCAGCATGTGATATTAGTATTTATGATACAGCATGTCTTTCAAGAAATGTTGTTGGGGTTTTACTGTCTTTTCAGTTTTCCTCTTTATTTCTTTTTCCTGGGAGTTTCCAGTTGCTCATTGTGAAATGTGTTTTTCTGTCTCTTTCACTGGGCTAGGCCATGTTAAAGTTCTCCAGCAAGTCACTGTTTTAAAAGGATCTTTTAACTCAAGTAATTTCACATAATTTCTGCTATAGGTCCTGGCTGATGGCAGCACAGATGTGTGCATTCCCAGCAGTGGCTCTGATGACAAGGAGGACAGGAGTTCAGCAGCAGATGATGTTAACAAACCTATCACTGATAACGAGCATGTCCCCAGGTAAAATGCATTGCATTCATAGGTTAACACTTTCTTTTTTTCACAGTATTTTACAGGGCTCATGGATTTGTGCTGCCTTTGTTCAGTACTCTGTATTTGCACATTTGATGCCATCATGCTGGAGTTCTACTCTCTTGATAGAGCCCCATGTGTGTGTTTGGCTGTGCAGGTTTTTCATCATCTCTGAGGATGGTTCTGGAACGGAGCTCCTGCGAACAAAGGATGTACGCGAGTATATGGCTGAGGCCTGCAGTGATCCTGCCACTGCAGTCTTGCAGGATCCTGTACAAGAACAGCCAGGTAGAAAATGCTTCTTCTCTGACAGACTACTAATAAAAAGAATTGAAAAGTTTCAAAACTCTTATTTGGGCAGGAAATGTTTTTACCCTTGTAAATAAGGATCCACGCCTTCTAGGAGTGGAAGAAATGAGTTTGGGGGAAAACGCTGAGAAACAGAGAATTAACTGAAGGACACTGTTAAGGGATAAGTGAACTAACTTAATGGCATATCTTTATCCACTCTCCGTGACACAAATAAATGCAATTGCCAACTAAATATATTCTTTGTGTTTATCATTTAAAAAACTTGAATATATCACAGTCTCCATTAATGATGTAGCAATGAGGAGAGTGATGCCCTGTTGTTGACCTTTAGGCTGTTTTTTGGAAAGGATACATATTAAAAAGCTGAAAAATGTGACTGGAATAGCCAATACTACATGGTAACAACCACATTGTAGTAGCAATGCAAGAAATTATGTCCTGGAATTGTTGCTTGTTGTAAAGGTAATTGGATCTGCTGTGTTTCTATAAAAGACACTGTAGCAACAGGTAGTTGCTAACAAAAAAAAATCTTTAAAAAGAGGAAAGTATGGTTCTCCTGAATATAAGGGGATGATGACAGAAATTTGCTTCAAGCCATAATGTCCTAAGACAAATTTCTCATAGATTTATGTCATAAACATATGACATAAAACAGGTTTCCCACTTACTACTCTTATAAAGTGTGGCACATTTTTAAATGTACTTTTATTCACACAAATGACTGGTTCCCCATTGCAGAAACCAAATGAAGCCATTCTGCCATGGGAAAAAAGAAGGGACATGGAGGGAGCCAGAAAAATGCAGAAGGTGAAAAGATCAGAAAGATGGAGAGCATACATGCCCAGTCAAAATCCCTGTAAAAAATTTTACTTACAGCCAGCAATCATTTGTAATAGTAGCACATCTGACTTCCTGCTCCACCTTTCACAATACTGGGTCTATTTGCCTTTACAGCAAAGTTTCACAATTTTGTATCATTATGACAAAGTACCACAGTGGTGATACCCATTTTGAAGGTCGCCTGAGGGATAGATCATAGTAGATTAAGTAATTTTTGGGTTGGGCTGGAAAAAATATTTTGAAGAATATCAAAATTTATGCAAACAATACAAATAAATAATCTCTAATGGAATACATCCAGTGATCAGGGCATGAAGTATAATATGCAATGAAGAATTATGCATGTTCTGAATATGTTGTACTACTTCTGAGATTAGTATTCAGTACACATGGGTCAATGCTGTGCTCATCCTTTGGGCTACTCCCCACACTATACAACTGAGCTGTTAAGCAAGAATCAAAGCAAGTAGCATAAGCAAGTTATTGTTACAAATGGGCTGAGTAATCTGAACTTGTACCACTATTCTATAATCAACGCAGTGATCTGATATTATCTGTAGCCATGGATGCAAGGACTTTTATCTGTTAGTAATAAGATGTTTTTTAGATAGGTAGTTTTTTTCTGTAGGTCTGAGACACTTTTTTGGTTTTTAATTTGAACTGGTTCTTAGTAAAATTTGTCTTTAAACCAGGTGTTTTAAGTATTACTGTCCTCCGGCCTATGGCTGAATCATCCCCCTGGGTAATGAAGAAAGAACCAGAGAGTATTGTTCCTCCATATCTACAGCCAGAGACTCAGAAAGAATCTTCTCCTCCTGAGGTATAATTGTTTCAAAACTGTCTTTTCATGTTAAAGCAATAGATGTTTGTCTCTGTGGGGAAATGAAGCTCTAAACAGTGAGAATGTTAAATTCAGTTTATTAAGCAGACAGAGCAAATGGTAGGCTGTGTCACGAAATGTATGGTCCCATTCTTTTACACTTAGTGAGGGGATAAAGCAATTTTAAGGGGAGTGTGTCTTACCAAATGAAGATATTTTAGCGTAAATAAATTGTTCCCAGGAATCTATTGGCTTTATTGTCTAGGTCTATGACACGCCTTTCAACTGAGACATATTGCCAATAGGCGCATTTTTGGATTTTGCTCTTTTTGTTTGCTCCTCTCTGTTCAGAGGGAGATCAAAGGTTCCCTAGTGAGAAGGTATGCCTGGAGGGGTCTCAGCATCGGAGAAGCTCGTGTGTCCTTGCCAGCCCCCGTGCGAAAATGTCCCAGAAAACTGCAGATCCGCCAGCTATTCCAGTATAAGCCACTCTGTGAGGAACTAAGAGAAAAACTGCATCTTTCCCTCAAGGTAGTTCAACCACATTTATTCATTCTTCCAGTAAGCAAAAGAGAACAAACAAGTAGATGAATTGGGTGTGATAAATGTGAAGTATATACCTGAGAAAAATCTACTATGCTTGAATAACAATTATTTCATACATAGACAGGTGCTGTAAGTGTTTTTCTGAAAAAGTTCAATTGTTTCATTTACCTCTTATGAAACCTAGTTTTCTGAGCAAATACATGAGATCCAATCCAGCATACATGACAGACAGTACTCTAACATATAATTTCCTTGCTGTCAATATTGATATCTCTTACTTCACTTTTATTTTGCTTAGGGTTTGTTTTCCTTCAAAAAGCCTTAAGAATTTAAATCTATGAAGCTGAACAAGAATTTCTAGCTCACCATAATTCTGCAAGTAACTTGGTCACTGAGACACTGAGACACACTCTGGTCTTGGTTTCTATATTTTTTTCATAAATCAATGTAGAACTTTTCCAGGTTTCAGTCTGAGTTTGTTACTCTATCCATGTCTAGGAAATAGCTTTGTAACCTTCTGACAAGGTTTGTGGTCATCCCTCATTAGTGACTTGCTCATAGCAGGGTGCAAGCTAGACCTCTTGTGCCAGTGTTCTGAGATGGTGTCCAAAAGTGAACAGCTTTGCCCTTCTCAGTGTTAGTGTAAAACATTCCTTTATTTAATTCACATTGTGAAAATGCTCTTAGAAGAGATTTTAGAGTCAAAACCCCATTATTACTTAGGAATTAGAGAATAACAAAATATATGTGTCCTGTAATTTATTCATTTAAACTATTTTGATAATGGCATTGCAGACTGAATTTGTAAGTTAACAGCATGTGACATGTGTGAAGGTAGTAATATATTGTACCCATTTATATAATTTTTTTTTTTTACCCACATTACATTTCAAAGAAAACATGCTTGCAATAGAAAAACACTGACAGCTGGCCAGCCCAGATATGTTTGGGATATTCAAGTCTATCAGAATGAAATGTCACCAGTTTTTCAGTCTATAAATATATTAAAATTATTCTTTAATTTGCATACTGATCTTTCAAAGGCAAACAGTATAAGAAAAGTTCCACACCAAAATGGCAAGGGAAGTCTATTCATCACCCAGATATATTGTTGATTTTTAGAGAAAGTTGAATGCTGTTTATTACACTGGGAAGGAAGAACTGCAATTACTAGCACTGAAAAAACAGTTGCAACAATTGCATAAATGTGCAATGGAAATACTCTCATTGCTCATAAATCAATATTTAATTAATTCCTTTTTTTTTCCAGAATGAAGTGTCTTAAATCTTTAGCCTCACCTTCACTTTGTCAGAGCAAAATCAAGATTTAAGGAAAATATTCTTCCTTTCTCCATCTTCTATAAGATTAAAGAGATATAAACAAGTGAAAAAGAACTAGTGTGGGAAACATTTGTTTCTACAAACCTGTCTGTTAGTAAAGTTCTGTATTGCATGTAGCTTTCTGGCAGAGTGGTGTGTTTAAAACCCTTTTTTCTATCCAACTGATTTAAAGAGATACGGGAAAAGAAATGTGCTTCTTTTCTGTAGCAGCTGGAATGATTGTGTCAATGTAAATATCTATTTTAAGCCTACATCTGCATCTTATTCTTCCTTTTCATTGTTCCACCAGGAATATATAGAGAACATCTTAAAGCAGGAAAATGAGCTGGAAGAGATTAATGTGAAAGAACCAAGAACAGAAGAGGAAAAGGAGAATGCTGCAAGTCTCCTTGAACAGGTTACAGTGAGAAAATCGAATTTTTTTAAGTATTTCTTTCAACAAAACCCTTGTATTGCATTGGAAGTGTGAGACTTGAAGCACATTATCCATTCATAAACCAGCAAATGTCAGAGCAGCACAGAGCCAGTTCCGGTGTAGATTAATAGTAAAGCAGAGCCCCAGCCAGCCTTCAGCTGGTCTGAATTCAGCTGGGCACTGCTGCCTTTTGGGGAAGCAATGCTCAAAACAGTTCAAGAGTTCTACTGAATGATATGTTCCCAAACACACAGACCAAAACTACTTTCCAGTAATTTACTTTTTTTAATATCCCCCAACATCAGGGTGAAAATGTTTCCAGTCTGTTGTCATTGCACATGGGAGACTTCTATTTCAACCACAGCCACCTCCATAGTAAGAATTTAAACCCTGCTTTTGGGATAATACAAAAACAGTCTGGAGGAATATTGTTATTACTGCTGAGCAGCATTTTGTTTTTTTAAATATAATCTGTGAATTTTCATGGATAATTAGAGCACAAAAAGAAAAAGGAGAGGAATAGGTAATGGGAAAGGTGGGTAAATAGAAAAGGATCACAGCTTTTCTGGAAAAAGGGACAGAGAAATGATCTGTCAGTAATTCCATCTGCATCTATCCTCTAGGCAGACATTTATTTACTTCAATGAGGCCCAGGTGCTGAACCTCACATGCTGCTCAGATCCAGTGAACTTGTCTAATGACTAATTATTGTTGATTGTCCTGGCTACCTTCAGCACCTTCATTTCCAGTTACAGATTTCACATTGGACAACTCTTTTGTTTGCAGCAGTCTCAGCACCTGCTGTGACCCAGGAATCAGTGTCACATTGCTCCCAAGTCTCCAATAGCTCTGTTACAACCCAGACTGCCTGGTCAGGAGTTCTGCTTTCCAGTTAACTGCTTCAGAGACAGGACGAGAATAAAGGAAACATTTTAGAGCCTCTTAACCCTCATTCACTTTACTGTAAGCCAGCCACATGAGATCTCCTCAGTAACAAAGCCTGCAAATTCCTGAACACATTTCCCATTTGACTTGTTGGGATTCTAAGTTTAATACAACATAAGTATATCTTTTTCAGATTTTTTTGCCAAAGGATTTCAATTTGATTAGGAATTAGCTTAGCTGACCTAATAAAAAGTGACCATATAAAATAAAAAGCTATCTATGCAGTGGGCCATCAAGAAGGAGTCAAATACCTGTTTAGAACAGGGAAATTGTACTTCATATCCTTTTTCCCCAGGGTATGTTTTCTGACACACTGAAATACCTGACAATGTGACTACAAGAATGGGGATAACAAGATAGCACTTGTTTATAATGTAAATCCTCTGAATAAGATGCTGTTGTGAATTTTACTTCTCATGTAGTCACAGTTATTCCTTCTTCATTGCAGTCCTTCCCTGACTGGAAGAAATCAACTGAAAAGCTCAGTAATAAAGGTAATAAAAATTTGAATACCTGTGCTTTTAAAATTAAATATATATAATATTTTTAATTTAAAAATATCATAATAAGTTTAAAAGTATTGTACTATTATTTTTAAAGAGGCAATATAAAGGTGAATTCATCTATGTACTATGCACATGCTTCTGTGTAACTCTCACAGATGATTAGGACCTCTTAGCATCAATGATCCAGTACGTCTGAAAAATAATTCCTGGTTTTAGGCATGTGTATTTGACATTTTCATGTAGTGAGTTTTCTTAGCTGTAAGAGCTATGACAATACTTGGCTATTTTTATACAAGTAACAACTTTTCAGACAAGTTTTTCAAAGCAACTAAGTAAATCCTAGCCATTTATTACACTTCAAAATCTAATCTCAAACCATCACATCACATTTGTACATCAGGATGTACAAATAAAAGTTATCACTTATAAAAACCCATAACCCTTTTCTGTAGAAAAATTCATTACATTCTATCCCCTTGTGATGCTCATCTTTAAAGTGTTATTTTCCATGTCAAGAATATTTCTACTTGTCAAAAACGTCATACTGTGCAAAATAAACAGAAACTGCTGCAACAAATGCTTGCTGAACACTTTCCTCTTAAATGGAGCTGCAATTTTAATGTAGTATTGCTAATAAAGAAGATAGTGGGAAAGAAAAGCTCTTTGAAACAGGTAAAAATAGAAAAAGCTGAAAAATAAAATCATGTTTTATGGTGAAGAAGCTGATCAAAAAATCCCCCACATTTTGAAGTTTGAACTCATGTAATTCCCAGAACACTAAGAGATATTGTCATAGTCTAATAGGATCATATCTCTCAAATACTCACATCTCCTAATCTTCGCCACAGAAAATTGTTTTTAGACAAGGAAATTTCTTTGGACCCATGATTTAGCTTCAAGGTATAAAGTAAACAACACACTTTATAACATATGTCAGAGGACAGGGCAACTCTTTAATAAAGCCCCAGAGCTGGTCACAATATTAAATGTGGAAAGGCTGGCATTTCTCCATTATATATATTGAACTAGCAGTTCCTTCCATGAGAATGTTGATTATGGCTGCTTCACAGCCTCAATTAAGCACAAGCAAGCTTAAGCAAGCTAAATGTAATAAGGGTCCCTGAAAGCCCACATTATTTTCTTCAGCTGTAGATAAAGACCTCAGAGCACCCCAGTTAGTGGCTGAATGTCAGCAACTTTTCCTATTCACAGGTATTTGTATCTTGAAAGAACGTAAAAATATGTCAGGAAATACAGGGTGGGAGTGTGAACCTAATCTGCTTCTTCTCTTTTCAATATTGAATTCACTTTCTTATCTGTTAATGCTCAGATCTTGATTTTGGAATGAAGTTCTTTCTGCCTTTTCCCTCACAGCAACAAAGATTCTGTTAGGTTTCCATAAAGTGGCAGAAAGATGCATTTAAAAATATCCTTTGATTTTTTTTTCATAACCCTGTGCAACAGAGCAAGCCCATTCATCAATGCCCTTCCCCTTGCAGCCCGTGTGAGCCAGTTGTATGAGCAGGCAGTGGCTCCTCCTGCCCAGGATCACACAAGGAAGGCAAGCACTGCAAAGAGACAGGACCAGCAGGACAGGTAGGACAGAGCAGCAAGCACTGGTGCAAATGGAAATGACACAAAGGGTGAAGCCAAGCACACTGTGCTTTACTGACTGTCATTAAGGGCTGGAATCTAGATCCCTAGATACATATGGCAACGTTTTACTGTCTTGCCCTGTGATTATTTTGTCCCTCTATGGCTCTCTTTCCATATCTGAAAGATAATTCAAAGTTTGTTGGAAAAGTACTTTGCATATTTCTTGGATTGAATGATCTAATAAAAATGCAGATATAAGCGAACACTTTTGTGCAAACCATACGAGTCTGAGTCAGAAGCCACCTGAAGTGTTTACATAACATACTCTCACAAAAAGCATTTTCTTTCCAGGGTTATCTTGTAAATTTTTTTGTATTTATAGAAGACTACTAGTTTTCTTATTCCCACTACTCTCTCTTTTTTTCTTCTGGGTGATTCAGTCCGGATGGAGTAACATCCAAGTGGAAAAGCAAACTGGAAGAGACCAGGTAATAATATTAGTAGGATCAAGTTATTTTATGAGCCAGCTTAATCTGCTTTGGTAAAGAATGTTACTGATTTCACCAGGTCTTGGGTGATGGTGCAATGGCTTGCTTGCAAATAATGGGGTATTTTCTGCTCAACAGAAATGCTGAAAAAGTGGTTTGAGTCTCTTTCGTCTTTTTTTTTTCCCCAAAACCCAGCAGCATTACTGTTAACTTACACTATGCAAACCAAGGCTGAAGTCAGAAGCCCTTTGTTTTGTTTTCAGCTTCTGCCACTAGTGTAGAATATACTGTATATTAATATTTTCAAATGCTGACGCTTTAGGTTAAGATTCAGGTATTCCACAAATAAAAGCTGATTTTTTCAAATAGAACCCCAGACCATCTCACATGGTGGTGCTTCAAAGCTTCTCTAGGCAAAACTGTCCCAGCTCTCTCAGCCTGTACTCACATGAGAGGTCTTCCAAACCCTTAATCATCTTTGTGGCCCTTTTGTACACCAGAGAGGTCAAAAGTGGACACAGCACTCCATGTGAGGCTTTCCATATTGCTTCCTAATTATTTCTGATTTGCATGAGATAAAAAAGCCTTTTAGAATTTCAGAGTTACATTTTCATATAGCATTTCACACTGTTTTGGATCCTATTAAAAAATAATTTCAATATATAAATCTGAGCAGTCAGCACCCAAGAACATCATGTGCAATTCTGGCTCTAAAACCAGTGTTTAAACTCTCAGTATGATTAAGACTGATCATTTTATAGCTGATATTAGACCCTGCTGCAAGTCAGTGAAATTCTAATAGTGTAAAACTGGGCTATATCAAGCTGAAAACATGACTGATCTTTACTCTGGTCAGCCTTACCTTCAGAAGTTTGAACAGCTTCTTCTGTATCCACAGAGCCGTCAAGTCTTTCTGTGATAAAATAATGAAATTAGATGAGTTTTGTGTTCAAAATTTTAGCAATGCATCTGGAATACCAATTCTTAGCTTGAAGTGTTTGTTGGAAGGTTGGAAAGACACCAGTGGCAGTCCCAGACATGTTCCATGAGGTTCAGAGAAATGGAGTATGTTCTGAGGAGGAGCTCCTCATAGCAGGCAGCTTGCTGTCTGTCTCCATTCTGGCCAGTCAATTCTTAATCCACCTCCAAGAAAATTGCCAATTACAAGAATATTACTTCATGTGATGAACCACACAAGAAAATGCCACTTGCCTTTACCAAATCCACTTCTTGATGCACAATACTGAAAAACAAGATGAACTCAGTTATAATGCTTTTAACTCAGTTATAATGCTTTTTTTCTTTCTTTTCCTTACCAACAATGTGAAAAACATCCCTAGGAAAGAACTGGATAAACAGAAAGCTTTATTCGCAGCACTAATAAATGATATTTATGCTCCGTATTTTGAATCTGAATTTGGCAAAAACTTCTACCAACAAAAGGTAATGCAGCTGAAAACTGGATGAAGTCTGTTAGGCCAACTAGTATCTCCCATGCTCCCAAAGACAATTTTGGGTTTTTATCTCAACAAACCATTACAAAAGACAACCATGGCAGATGAAGATGGTATATGTTCACTGATAACAAACTCTGTAAAATTCCTTACATAAACTCTGGAGAGAGCCTGATTCAGGGCAAAGCTCAACCTCAGGATTTTTTTACTTACCCCTCAAACCCCTCTCCTTGCTTATTAGAAAGGGAATAAGTAAAACAAACACTCCTAATTTAGAGGTGATCTTGGGGGCTTTTCTACTGGTAAATGATGTAAGAGCATAAAGCATACTCAGAAATGTAGGTTGTAATCTGATGTAACTATTTCTACCACTTTTATAGTCACCACTTTGTTTCTGCTTATTTGTTTCCTTTGCATTCCTTTTTTAAAATTTTTTTCCCTTCTTTTTCTGCAAGGGGAGGAGGGTGTTTGCTGTCTGGTTTTCCTAGGTGTTTAGTTGCAAAACTTAAGCCCTCTTTCTTCCTTTTCTCCAGTTTCCTGATTTGGAAGCAATGTCTAAGGAACTTCCTCCACTTCAAAAAGAAACAAGTGAGACCTGGCCTCTGAGGCTGATAAGAGAACCCAGTGGAGGTAATCGACTGTCTGGCATCAGTTTTGTATCTTCTTCAGGAGGAAGAAGCCCTTGCAGACATCATTGAATGTGGAAGAACCATCAGCTTTGGATGCTAAGCTGAAGAATTGTGCTATGAATGAGAATTGGATAGATGAAAAATGCTCATCAAGAAACTTGAATGGAATAAATAAGAGTTAGGGGCGGGTGAGCAAGAACCAAGGAGCCAAGTTTAGAAAATAACTAGTATGACTGTAGGAAAAATATGGGAGATTTATTTCTGAAACTCACTGGTAAGAGGGAACTGGTGCAAAAGCAATATGGACTTGGAAACATGCAGGCTAAAGATAGACTGGAGGACATAGGAGGAAGCCAGTGACTCTATGACAGGAAGCAGGGAAAGAGGGATCATTATCTAAGCTTCAGCTTTTCAGATCTGAGAGGAATATTTCAGTTCTGTTTAAAAAGCAGCCTAACAAGCTATTGAAATTATACAGTGAGATTAAAAGTCATACACAGCAAAGACTCATATCAGGCAAATAGTCCTCTGTGGGGCTTTATCAGACCGCCACTAATTCCCATATTTCCTCATTTTCAATCACCATAAGACCTGTGCAGGATTTTCTTTTAGTCCTTTATGGCTTATAGTTCAGTTAGCCAGAGAACAAGAAATTACTAATCACACAATAGGCATTTTAGAGATCCCTGTGGCCCAGTAGAGCAAAACATTGCATGCAGATTTTCCCAGCCTCTCATGGTTATGTAGCAGCTTTCCAAGACTGTGTAAATTAAAGTGCTAAAGACTGATGTTGTTTTTCACATGTTTATGAAAAAGATTTTGATCATAAAAAACACTTGACTCAGTGTTCCATTATTTTCCCTTTAGCAGCTGAATTTCTTGGTACCACAAGTGAATCATCCCTTTCATCTGGCCTTCCCCTGCAGTATCCTTCCAAACAAGTTGATGGTTCCAGCAGCACAACAGGTACACCTGCCTTCCAGAATGTAGTTGGAGCAGCTCACTATCTTTTTATAACTTCTGACACAATATTTGCAATATGAATTTCAATCCACCTGTCACTTTTTCATGCTTTTGGAAATCTTTCCCTTCCAGACAAGACTGAGGGGGCAGAAGAGACAGCCTTTCAACAGAAAGTTCCAAGTCTGATGCTGGATGTTACAGGACAGACAAGAAAAGAGAGAGTAATATTACCACCATGCCTTCAGGGGAAAAAACCAAACACCATACCAAATAAAAAGGTAAAAAATAACATCTTTCTTGTCAATATTCATATCATCTGAGTCATCTCTTTTCCATAAAATCTTCACCCTGGAGCAATGCTGGAAGGTATTTTGAATCTATTTACTATAACATGGCTGTTGCAATTTATATATGTTTAGTGGCAATTCTAGAAGTACATTTCCTCTCAACTGCTAGGAAAAACTCATTCTGCATCAGGCACTTACTTGAAAGCTCTGTTTCCAAAAGAGCAGGTCTTCCCCCATTTTCCCTGAGACACCTCAAGGGCTTCATGCATCTGAAAACTCAAAGCAGTATAAATTTCCAGACAGTATTCTAAGTGCTGCTTCAGTTTTTACTCAATTAGGATGTATTTTTGTAATTCTTCAGGGTGAGTGAACAGAGGTTAAATATAGGTTAAGTAATTCTCTACCTGACTTAATGGCCACCAACTTTCTCTTTGTCTCATATTTTGTTTGCAAAGATAGAAGATCCTGCTTCAGGAAAGGTCAGCACATCTTCTCTTGCAACAAGACAGGATCTTACCAAATTCCATCTCATCCCACCCAGGGTGGTATTTGGAGTGCTAAAGGAAGGCTGCATCTATGCAACCATTGTAATCATGAAGAATGTTGGTGTGAACTTCTCAAGGTTAGTTTGAATTCTTAGTACCCTGGTTTTTATGTCTCCAAATAGATCCTGACAAAAATTAAGTACAGTTTCTCTGGAGCCACCACTCAGAGAAAGCACAGGAATTCTCACAGCCACTTCATAGGTCTGCCAGAGCTTTCCATAAGATGGAGCCATATCCTAGGAATGCCTCTTCTACTGCCTTTGCTTTAACAGCTTCTGGTGCAAGGGCATGCTGGTAAGGGGGGAATGAAATCAGCAGGATCAGTTCCAGAGCAATGCAAAAGTAAAGGTCATACCTGATCTAATGATCTTTAAAAAAAAAATCTGAGCAGTAGGAAGTTGCATTCACAAAAAGACTGAATCTCAGATGTGAAACAATCAGTAAGAAATGAGGAAGCAAAACTTCTGCTTTAGTTGGTACCATTTAATTAAAGATTATTTGCACAAAATTCATAGCAGTATCATGCTTCCTGCAATAGAATTACATCAAAGGACATTAAATAAAGATTGTTATGAACTTTTGGGTCTGCAACACACAGGTGTTTGCCAAGAAGCTGTTTGTACTTCAGCTACCTTTGAATGTGCAGATTTAAAATGGTGCTGTTTCACATTCTCTTATAAGGACCGGGCAGTGTTAACAAGCTCTTTGGAGGCTTACTTTGGCCCATTCATCTGCTCCTTTGGGTTTTTTTGTTAGAAACCGGAGCCTTGGCAAGAAGCCCAGGAATTGCTGTAGTCCAACTTGTACATTATGATGGAAAGGATGAACTAAGAAATTCTGCTGTCATTTAAAAAAGCAGAGGAAGAGCAGGCAGCCTTGATGAGATTTCTCCTGCCTGAAACAGTTTCTGGCAAACTGATTCTCTTCTCTTTCTGACAGGTTTCGGGTGAAGCAGCCGCCTCCATACACAGGACTGAGAGTGATGTACACACCAGGACCTGTAGGTTGCACAGGAGAGCTTCTGGGTTTTTTTCTAGACACAGCTGGCCCTCAGGCTAGCTAGGGCACCTTTCTGGGACAGCAGATGTCTGGGAATAGAGCTGCCAGGGTACAGTTTTGTTTAAGGTTACTCAAAGGGATGCTGTCTTCCACCGTCCTTCTGCCACCTTCAGCTAAGTGCTCCATGCACTCGAGTCTCGGCCTGTGCCAGAATGCAGAGGGATAAAAATGTTAAGTTCAGTGAAAAGCAGCAGGTCAAGCAGTGAAGTTATAGAGAGCTTTTTCAAAGCAAACAGGACTACTCTACCACTGCCTCTGAGTTTTGCCTTCTGCTTAGGGTGTTTGTTATATCTGCTCTGTCTTATGCCTAGACTTAACTTCCTGTCCTTAACTTCCTACCCTCAGGATTTGACCCTAGTAAACTATTGCCCCAATCCTTTCTTGTCCTGCTTCCAACTGTTCTCCACCTGAAGTTTTTTATCTAGCAAAGCACCATAGCACATTATCTCACTAAGTAGGAAGCTTTCATTCTTTCTGCTTTTGTTCAGTCTCTTTTTTTACCTGCACGCTATCTCTGAATAAATAGTGCTGGCCATGGCATCCATGTAATACCAGGCAATATCTTGCCAATGTATGGAATCAAGAAGCAATGACTTATGCAGAGGCAGTGCCAGAATGCAAATCAAACCTCCTAGTCCAGAGCCTTAGCCACAACGCAGTACTTGAAATCATAGGATGGTATGGGTTGGAAGGGATCTTTAAAGGCCCCAATTGAGAAAGAAGGATGGTGTAGAGGACTGTGTCAAAGGCCCTACAGAAATCCATCTAGATAGCTGGAATACTTTCCATTCTTTTCTCCTCACATCTGCCCCTTTTGTAGCTCCCTACCTTTATGTTCTTTTCAGAATAGAATAGAATATTTTATTTTATTTCATTTGGAAGGGATCTACAATGGCCCTCTGGTCCAACTGCCTGACCACTTCAGGGCTAGCCAAAAATTAAAGCATAGCATTAAAGACACTGTCCTAATGCCTCTAACACTGACAGGCTTGGGGCATCAACCTCCAGCTCCAAGGACAGCTGGAGGGGACCATGTATGAAACTTGCACCTTACCTGTGAGTCATTCTCTGTCTCTCCCAGGTGGCAGCAGGCTTGCAGGCTGAACTGGAGATAGAGATTTTTGCCATGCTGATTGGAGGGAAAGACACTGGTGGCCTTGAAGAAGTTTCCCATAATATTGAAATAGTAACAGAAACTGAAACTCTTCTCCTGCCTGTGAAAGCAAATATCCTTTGTTGTTTTATTTCTCACACACACCTCATAGCATCGACCCTGGGGATCTCTTCCCGTTGGGAGCCTCAAGCAGTGTTTCCAGTGTAGCTGTTGCAGTAGCAAGCTTTACTGTCCTTTTCAGAAATACACAGATGGGTGTTTTCAAAAGCACAACAAATGAATAATTTAAGATTCTGATGCCAAACACATTTTACATCAGAATAACGTGGTTTGAAAAGTGGGGAAAGGAAGAAGAGCAACTCAGAAAAATGTTGCTTTTAAAAACCAAATGAAAATTATAGGAACTCTTTCCCACCACCCCTCATGAAAATACTTTATTATGCTTTTTGAATCTATGGTAGCATCTGGTGGTAAACCTCATGAGCAACAAAATGATGTATCATCCAGATACTGAACAGGCAAATGGGACAATCCCTGCAGCAGCAAAGATGCAAGCACAGAATTGCATGAATGCTGCCAGAAATGAGCCTGTGTGGGTTCAGTGGGCTTTTCAATTGTTTAACTCATGACAGCAGTACAGTAAAAGAGCCAAGTCAGTAGCTATTATTTCTGTTTCCCTTGTGCTTCCGGTGAAGTTCTGTTTGACATTTAATCAAATTTACACTTAGAAGTCTGGGAGAAGGGATCCTCTGGAAACCTATAAAAGAAATAGCAAGGCAAGCTACATCCAAGCATGGCAGAAATGTCATTCAGAGTAAGGACAACCCTTACCAAAAAAAGGAGAACTTCAGGATACTCTAAACCTGACCAGAGTAACAGCAACTCCTCTGAAGCTTTATATGCTCTAGATGTGACATTGAAACTCCCCAAATTTACTTGCATTGACCCAAAGAAACCTTTCATACCTATAATTGCAGAGCTGATCTAGACAGCACCAGTGGCATAGCAGCAAAAGCAGCTGCTGTTCTGTTCCCATTCACCCAGTCCTCAGACACAGTTGCAGACCAGCCTCCAAACATGTGCCCTTCCCCCATATTTTAGCTGTTCCTTTAACCTTTGAGCTGAGGACACTAGTCCAGATTCAAGATGTTTCACAACCTTAGTTCCAGAATTCATTCCTACCTCCACAGGTTATTTTACTTAAATAAACATACCAAAATGGTTAGATCCTTAGCGTGGTATTCCACCTGTGCTAGCCAGTGACATTTATCAGCGACGCCCCGAAGGATTCCCCCAGGGAGGGATGGCAGCAGGAGTCCAGGAAGTTCCTCCAAGCCCCAGGCCACGGTTTCGGATTACACTCCCACGAAAGCTTTATAGTTAGTGTAAGCACTGGATGCAGTGACACCAGCTGTAAATTAAAGTACACTTGTTTCACCTAGTTTGCACTTCAGCAGCAGCATCCTGGACAAAGCTCATGCAAATGATGCACACTGACTTGGTTACTGTGACAAGAGAAGGGAAACACTGGATGACATTAACCAAAGCACTCACTACAACGGGACTGCAGGTTGTTACACCTGCTCAGCTCAGCAGAAGCACTCACAGCAAAGCCTCCTCAGTCCTGTCCCAAATCCTTCATTTGCTGTCTCCACATTAAATAAATCCTTGAACTTCCTGGCAGCTGGATTTATTACAGTTAAACCCTAATAAATCAGCCTCTCTTTAACATATTTCACTATCTGTAACCAAGTCTTACTGGTGACCCATTGACACTGACAGCAAGTCTAATAAGGGACAGGAGTCTTACAGATAGGGCAGCCTCAATGTGACAAGTGCAAATACACACAACTCTGCACACACAGTTTTATACAGCACATTTCTGTAGCCTTACAGATCCAGTCTACAAGAAGAATCACAGAACATCCTGAGTTGGAAGGGACTCACAAAGATCAGGTCCAGCTCTGCACAGGACATCCTGAGAGCCACATCATGTGTCTAAGAGCATTGTCCAAACATTTCTTGAACCCTGTCAGGCTGGGTGCTATGATCACTTCCCTGGGGAGCCTGTTCAGTGCCCAGACACCCTCTGGGTGAAGAACCTTCTCCTGATACCCTAACTCACTCTTCCCTGACACAACTTCAGGCCATTGCCTTGGGTCCTGTCACTGGTCACCGAGAGATCAGTGCCTGCCCCTCCTCTTCCTCTCATGAGTGTCCTGCCGACTGCAGTGAGTTCTCCCCTCTGTCTCCTGCAGGCTGAACAGACCAAGTGACCTCAGCCACTTCTCACACTTCCCCTCAAGGCCCTTCACCATCTTTGTAGCTCTCCTTTGGATGCTTTATAAGAGTGTCTTAGAAGGGTTAAGTCTTCCCAGACAACAAGAAAGCCTTACTTGGAACTTCTCACAAAGCAGCAGTCAACATGTTTAACATTAGACTGGTGTTCACCTCACCCCCAGGAGCTCAGGCACTCTACAACACGATTGATGGTGACAGCTGATAAACAGGGAACCCTGTGGATGCCTCTCCTCAGCTGAACAGTCCCTGTTTGCTTCATATGTGTAACACTGACATAATCTTTTTCTTTCAACATAAACATCTGTAAGCCTGCCTTGTTATCCAACCAATCAGCAAAGAAATTCCAGCTGTATCTCATTCCTCTCTCCTCTGGAGAAAAAGAAAAGTGACCACATCAGTCAGTTCTCAAAAACTTCACAGACGTGTACCTCTGACTGCTGCTCTAGGACTGCCCACTATACATCAAGTATAGCTTTATTTTCTGTTTAAATATCTTCTTACCTTTTCCAGTGTGGAATTCTATCCCCAAAGTAACACACAATTATAGTCTAGAAAAACAGCTGGTTTAATGCCTTCCACCTTAGGGATTTACCACCTGCAGCTCATCGTGAAGGAAGTTTAGACAAACTTCTCTCACTCCATGTTGAAACCTAAAAGAAATACTCACCCAGTCAGTTCACATTTTAGTGAGACACCCCCAGTCCCAAGAGAAGTTCTTATCAGGGCCATCTTCCATGACAAAGCACAGAGGGAGAGAAATTAATTACACAGTATCCTCCTCTCACATGTCTAATCCAGCTAATCAAAGCTGCTGCCACCACAGCCAAACCTCCCTTCTCTTCTGACAGTGTCCTTTTGTGAACTGATTGACAATTCCTGCTGAAGCTGGCTGCAGCCATCCCATGCTACCCAAACAACTGTGCCCAATGCCTCTTTGAACATTCCTCCCCTCAAAGTCTCCTGGACTCAAAACCATATCCAAAACCATGTCCACCTCAGACATACCAAGGAGCTCTGGATTGGTTTAGTCTCACAAAACATGGAACACCAACACTCCTGGGTTAAATCCTGTTATTGATTAAATAGTCTTGTTCAGCCATCCAGAACAGAAACAGTTGAGTCACTGCAGAGGCACTCTGAGAATTTTCTGAGTTTCTATCACCTTTCCCAGGTGGTTATCACCAGAGCCAGTGATTCTTTCTACTGAGACCGAGAAACCTCCCCGCAATATTAAACTTGATCACAAATTTGCCACACCTAGCAGAGACCAAAAAGCAAAAATCACTGATCAAGCATCACCTGCCCAAACTTAGTCCTATCTCATTAATTTCCTTAGTTATTTCACATCAATATTTGAAACACTTCAAAAATATTCTCTTAACATGCTCAGAATTAAATATCACGCAGGAAGCTGCCCATGAAAGGCTTCAGTATTCCTAAGCAGAGTGTCCATCCTGAATGTGTGGTTGTGATTTTTGCACCATTCAATTTGTGCAATAAAAGCAAGCCCCTAATCTACTTGAAACCCAGGTAAGAGCTCCATCTCATATTGTTGTTCCCTTCCAACGGCAAAAGGCCAAATCTGAAGCCAGTCTGTAGCAATCACAGTGCTCACACAACACTTGCAGAGAATCTGGACATAATTAATAGGTTTGGTTCAACAACTGTACAGAGGTGGAGCTGGGATTTCTTCTTTTCTTCCTTCCATTCATGTTAATTTTCTGTCTTCTTCCACTACAGGTTAGAGCCCGAGAAGATCAACATGAGGATAAGCAACACTGAAATGCCTAGATTTTAGTTCAAACTTACGGAAACATGCAGTGTAATTTTCCCATTCATTTAATCAGATTAAATGAAAATAAATATTTTGCCTTTTCCTTGTTAATGAGAAAGGTGGTCCAAAAGTTGCACAATCTCCTGATGTGGCTGTCTGAAATGTAAACAGTGAAAAGATTGCTGTATTTCAACCCTACTACAGAGCAGTGCTTCATGGTTCCCACAAAGTTTGTTTTTAAAAGGGATTAGGTTTCTAATAACCTGTGCTGAGGCACCTGAAATCTTTTTCAAGTACTGGAAATGCACCAAGTTTCAACACAGTCAACTGTGATTCTTCAGGAGCTGCTGACCTGCTCTGATCTTCTAATTCCTAAGTTTCTGTTTGCTTTCACAATCATAGGCTTGCCTTTCTGTGTGCTCACCTACCTTTAATAAGCTGCACATACCAGATGGGTGGTGTGAGTACACGAAGTTGCACTTGACAAGAGAGGGACCCTTACACCCTCTTGTTCACAGTCAAACATGAGCACCTTCAAATGTTCACCTGCTCATCTCTCTTCATAGTGAGACACTGAGCCACTTAGAGATGGTTTTTTGCCCCTCCTTGATCCCACCTACATAGCAATGACTAAAAGAAAGGTCACAGGCTATTTCTGAGCCACCATATTTGTGTGCCCAAGTGCAGCTCTGCTTCTGGTTTATGAATTCATTTCTCACAAGGTCCTTTCCTGTGCTTCATCCTTTTTCCAACATGTGACATGCTGAGAGAGATGGGGAATTTTCCTTGATACATGCAGATGATTTGTTGTCACAACACTTCACAGTGACTGAGAATCCCATGATTGGCCATTAACAGCAGCTTTCACCAGTGTGAAACATGAATGCCAGTTCTGAACCATCACATCCACACTGTTAGGTGAGATACATATTCTAATAATACAGATTTAAGCTTGCCCTGTACTTGAAAGTGCTTTCCTGCTCAGGTTTGTAAATCTAGGGAATTTCACCCAAGAAAGGGCAAAGTGATGTCCTAAGGATATTAGAATTCCTATCAGAGGACTGTTGGCACAGGACAGACCTCTTCCATTTAAAGCACATGCTGGCCTCTGTCAGTAGCCACCCAAGTACTGCATTAGTACAGACCCACCACAAGTGATGAAAATCAGAGAACCAGAGGGAAACTTCAAGAAGGCAGCCTGTATCAGCAGCTAGGGAGAGACAACAACTTTTCAATACCTAAAAGACGTTTTCTCCAAGGATTCTTCCCTCACACCAGTGACAGCAAACAGAGACAAAAGTGTAGGAATTCCACCTCTTCCAACCCAGATCAGAGGATATCTGAGTCATTATAAGATGACTCTGCATCCCAAGCTATTCTTCTGTATCACCATTTACATACTTCCCATCAGTCCCTGAGTTCATGTGCCCATGGCCATGATTTTTTCTTCCAGGCCTCCCAGGGGATCATCAAATAGCAGTTCATTATACAGCATCCATAACATCTGTTTCCCTGACATTAAGGTAAACAGAGGCACAGCCAGCCTTCCCCTTTTGGTATCCAGTTTTGGCCTCTCTGTCCTCAGTCACCTCAGCTGAGGGCGCACTGTGGTGTCACAAGCCAGCTCTCCATCTGTAACACTTGTATTTCCAGCAGGCTGGCCATTTCAGCAGCAGATAATGTGGATAACAGATGTCAACTGACTTTACCAACAAAATGTATCATCCTACAGTGCATCCTCTTCCTCCTAGTAATCCCTCCTAGGAGGGTCTATTTTGGGAGTAGCAAAGGAAAAGAACAGAATAAAATGAAATAGAACAGCCTAAGTCAGGATAGAGAGACGTCTGAATGCAGCTGTTTCCAGATGCCTCTATAATTATAATTTCATATTTGTCCAGATATGGATGAAACTTGTGATTCAAGTGAAACAACTGGCAGAGCTGTATGAAGACTGCCATTTTTATACAGTCTGAAAGCCACCTGGAAATGGAGCACGTGCTCCTGTGAATCACCCAGACTCTGAAGAGGCAAGTGAACAACCATCCCCTGACAAAGTCACTTATGAACAGCCAAGGTACGGTTGTTACACCTGAGGTGCTGCCTGGAGAATGACCAGCTGAACTGCTGGCCTTTTGCATAATTGCTAGTAATAGACAACCTGAGACAAAGACAGCAGTCAGCCACAACTGGGATGCAACTAAAAATCCACATGAAACTCAAGTCAGAAGTTCAGCTTTGAGTACCTAAGCCAGACATGTGAGCCCAACACTCAGCAAAGTATCTGGAAGCAGCCCCCACCACATCCCCTAAACCAGTGAGACTTGACCATTGGTAAAAAAAACACAGCATGTGCTATAAATTAATAACAACAGCAGCAGAGACTTGTTCACTCCATTCTGCCCCACTACCCCCACTGTGAAAATAAATCATTTTATCTGACACAGGACAAGTACAACATTGCAACCAATCAGTGCAATTTCTAAAGCCTGGAGCAAGTAAAAGGCAAACAATGCAGGCTTCTCACACTTGGTCTGCCAGCTCTCGAGAAAAACACAATCTGGGATGGCAGGCCTTTCATTTGCTCCCACTGATTTTATTCTCTGTAAAAAATCTTTTGAAAACAGACACACAGGCCAAAGCAACTGAGGATTTACAAAGGAAATACCAGGACAAAAGACTATGGACAAAATTGTCTCACAAAGCAAATATAAATATGCCTTTAATAGAGTGCAGCCATGTTTCTCCCTGTCCCACTAGAGTGAGTGATTGTAGCTCAAGTCCTCACACTTCAGCAGAAACCACAGAGCTTTTTCCACAGGCCACAAGCCACCAGTAGGTGTCAGTGAAAAATCCTGCCAGGATTTTAATCCTGGATAAAGGCATGGTCTCACCAGCAGTCCTGTGCTGGATTTCATCGAATCAACACTGCCAGAATGAGCTGATCCCAGGATAAATCAACTCCATTTCTAACAGGCATTCCACTAGAGGAAGAGCACATGCCTTTGACAGCCACCTCAGAAAGAGTCCAAAGGCATCCATCTGCAGCAGACTGGAGAGAGTCCATCTCACAGACAACCATCCTGACTTGGGTTTACATGCTGGGTTACACCACGTGGAGGGGACAGACTTTGTCCCAGCCAGGGGACATCATCACAGATGTTCAGCCACAAGAACACTTCCATGGTAAGCAGTGAGGTTACATGAGTCCATCCAGGTGCTCTGGGTCTTGGGCAGCAAATGCTAGAGCATTGCAAGAACCATCTTTTCTTTCTTCTTCCTTTTTCTTTTCTTCTCCTCAAAACGTTCAGTAGCATCAGCAAAAAATGTCACCTCCTCCTTGGCCTCAATCTCCCTCTTCAGGAACTGGAGCCCTGCCATGTTGAATCCCAGCACATCCTGCAGAGACAGACCAGCACCACACTGTGAGGCACATCCCAAGCCAGCCAGGGTGCAGAGAGTCCTGCACTGGCCACCCTCTACTAAGAGATGATGAAAACAAGACAATCCACAGATTTAAAGAAAGCAACATTAGTTTAAATGTGAACTTCATTTGACCAGGAGAGCAGCTGGTTCTGCACTCAGTTCCCCACAGTCCTCTCTTAAAAGCACCCATAATCCACCACATTTTCTGAAGACAAGTTGCTGGCAGGTTCTGAAGCTTCCTCTAGGAAAATGCAGAGTCTGCATTGAGGCAGCAGCCCACAGAAAAGCCCAAGAGAAGCAGGGAGTTACTTTACCTCCCACATATTTAGAAACTAGCGAGCCAAGATCCAAGCACATGTATCAGGAAACCAAGTGCAAATGAGGCAGGGAGCACAAGTATAAGCTCACCACTGGACTACTCTCACATGAGGAGGAACATAAGGAAAAGACAGCTTATTTGCAAAAGAGGATGGTTTAAAGAGCTCAGATCCCAAAACAACTTCCCCACTGGACACCACAGACAACTCATGCTCACAAACATTGGCTCATCCCATTATTCTACATCCTGGAAAAAGGGAGGGTGTAACACTCACCCGGGCCTCACTGACTCTAGAGATGGTGGTTTTCTTCAGATTTTCTATCACTGTCACCAGCATCTGGTTGCTTGTGATCTGCCCAAAATGTATCCTGGAACAAAGCAACAGTGTATTGCAGCATTGTTATTAGAAACATCACAAAGGCCCTCTCCTGAGCCTCTGTATGTTCTGGACATACAGGGGTTTTTTATTCAATCTTCCCCAGACATGGACATGGACAGGCATGGACAAATTTATCTGGAAAAGCTGTTTTCTCAAGTTTAACAGTGGTTCAGGGGGGAGGTCTTTCTGAGAACACAAGCTCTACAGTGACTCTGTGCCACCAACAGTGCCTCATCAGGCTTGATGTGGGATCTTCTCATCCCAGTGAGACTTGGGCCACCAGGACCAGCATCCCCATCCAGGCATGTCAGCACTCTGCACCCAAGCAGTTCCTTCCCACACACCATTCACTGTGGGCTGCAGAGATTCCTCATCTCCTACAGATACCACGTGTTTATTCCCAAGGATGCTTCCCAAGAGCTTCAGGCCCAGAGACTCAGAAGAAAGCCCAGACACAGTCTGGGCAGATAAAGGACTCACTTGAGCAGGAAGAGGAGAGCTCGGCACAGAAGCTCAACATCTGAGCCCTGCTGAATATATTCATTGAAAAGTCTGAGCAGGTCAGGGACATAGGAGAAAGGCAGCACCAGGAGAGACTCTTCCAGCTCACTGAGGGAAAAGCAAAGGGACACAAGCATTAGTCTCAGTCAGTACACTGCTCCAGATGAGCAGGAAACACATCCACATAGGTGGGCTCTGCTACCCAGCTGTGCTAAGCATTTCTCACAGCTGCTCCATGAGTGCCCACATCTGCACCAGATGTCCTGCATCTGCACAGCCCAGGCATCTGGTGGCACAGGGAGCAGGCACACAGCCTTCCCTCCTCAGCAGCCCCAAACTGCTCTCCACATACATGCACAGCTCCAAGCAGCCAACCCACATCCAGAAACTTCAGCCCACACTTGCCATTCCCCAGTTCCATGCATGTTCCAAAAGAGGCTGCTGGAAACAGTTGACTCCAGACTCTCTAGCACTGCCCATACCTTGCATGAGAGACCACTCAAGGAGCCCATCCATTCCTGGGCCCAGAAACCCAACACTGAGTCACAAATGTGTTCAGCAATGAAGCTTCCGGGACTCACCTCGACTTGACCTTCTTGAAAACTTCCAGCACATAGGCAGAAGGCTGCAACAGAGAAAAGACAACAGCCCTGCTTAATAAGAAACATTCCAGGACCAACATGCCCTAAGGTCCACTTCACACAGTTAAAACCACACCATTTCATCTTGTGAGACAGACACATGAAGCTGAATACAACAAAGAGGAAACCCTTTCAGCTTCAATCAGCTGCCACTCTGAGAAGTTCTCTCTCAGCTTTCTCAGGACACTCTACACTGCTGAAGAATATTGTGAAAAATCTAATTTTTATTTAATCAGCTAAGTCATCTCAATTTATGTCAATGAATCTTGTACAAATTGGACAAAAAGCTTGGTAAAACAAATTATATATAAAACTTTATACAAACTCATCTCCCAGACTTAATTCCTACTACTCCTGTTTATCTGCTGGAAGCGTTTGGCAGATGGGAAAAGATTTCCAGAGCAGAGCTGGGAATTGGGAAAGAAAAGTGCCTCTAACTACTAAATCATAGGATTTCATTCCCTTCTGTTAAGTCTATCCAACTTATAATTAAATAGACCTATAATCATGGAAGAAGGGACAGAAGGGCTCTTGCAAGGTGGTTACAGGTAATTAGAAGGAAGACAAAGGCTGTTTCATCAGGCACTGACATTCAGCTCTGAGCAATCTGGTCTAGTGGGAGGTGTCCCTGCACAGGGCAGAGGGGTTGGAACCAGATGATATTGAAGGTCCCATCCAAGCCAAGCCATTGTATGATTGCATGAAAAGGGGAGAGTGAAAAAACAAGAATCTTCCTAAGGGTACTTAAAAAACACAGTCTGGCAGTGCACACTGGAATAAACCAGAAAAACAAAAACTAATTACTCAGAGTAGTGGATTTTTATTTATCAATGAAATCCACATCCATGTCTATTTTGTAATATGTCAAAAACCCACAGAATTTAGAGAAAACTGTTGTGCAGTAGTATGACATGAATGAATAAGGGCACCAGCTCTAGCCTGCATCACCCAGGCATTGAACTTCCATTCAGAATTTTCTCAATGTAAACACTGCAGGAATAGGAAAACAAACTGTAATTGTAGCAACACCAAATAAATAAACCTGGGAGAGGTTTGAACTAGCTTTCCTGTATCTTGAAGGAGACTGTAAACCCCTGGCTCATGACAAGGAACATCATAAAGTCATGGCTATCATCAGGGTTGTTTAACCCTGACAGGGTTAAACCTTTTTTGTAATACACATGCATGATACTAAAAAATAACAGAACAAACAAAACAAAACAAAACACCAAAAAAACCTCAAAACCAAACCAAACCAAAAAAAACCCAAAAAAAACAACAACAAAAAAAAAACAACAAAAACCCACAACCAAAAAATCCCCTAAATTATATTCACTTTGCACAAGCAAAAAAAGTTGAACTAAGCAGTCCTGCCCCACAGCAACCCAGCATGTTGGCTCAGCCAGCAAATCAACCAGCCTCACTCCAGCTGAGAATGGAGCACAGCCTGTGGCCTGGGCATTCCACTTACTGTAATATTTCCATAGGCACGGAGAATGGGATTGACAGGGAAGGGAACCTGGAGACACAGAATGGGTTAGAATGAGGCAAGTGTGTGAATATAAATGCATATTCAGAGCAAACTTTTACCCACAGCAGAGGAGAGCTTTTACTGAGCGTCTTCCTGCAATTCCCACACCTCCACCCTCCCCAGAATGTTTCTGAAGGCCTCATGTGAAGCCATCAGACATATATGACTAACATGGATGAATTTCCTTTCACTTCTTGTCACTTTTCCCATTTCT